ATTGGCCAAAGCACGATGCTGTAAGCTATTAGCTTTAATGACTCTTCCATGAGGTCATCCATCTCAGGGCAGTGGGATCTCGCAGCTCACTGGGCTCCCTCCCACTGGACTCTGTCTGGAGCCGCTGCAAGCACAGAAGATGCTGTGGCTAATCCCTGTCTGTAGGAGAAGACAGACACTCAGAGACACAGGACCAGCATTGAGCTTTTTGGCATAGACATTTTTTTCCCATGCAGAAGAATGGAAAATGTTTATATTAACCGAGCTAGCAGGGAGCTTGTAAAGATTCAGATCAGAGTACTGCAACAACAGCTTCATATAATTTGTGATGTTACACAGTAAATTTCTGCAGGCTTTGGAAGGCTCTTTTGAGAGCTGTGTTTAAAAAAAGTCTCAAAAAAAAAAAAAAAAAAAAAGAAAAGAGTTATGTCTGGCCAGATTTATTGTATGTTTCAAACAGTTCTTAAATCTGGCCTTGGTGTTTTCTAGCAGAGGTTTTGCACAACAGGTACCATCCCTGATTGTCACAGGAGATGGAAAAATGCACTGCTGGGTTGGCAGAAGGGAAGGGGTCCCTGTGACACCACACGAAGGGCAGAGTGACCTAAACCAGAAGTATACGCTGCTCTTACCCCCAGCAGGTGAAAATTTTCAGGATGCGTAGCCAATGGCAAAGAGCCCATCAGCTATTATTGAAACTCCTCCTGCTTGGATACAGGCTTCGAAAAGACAAACAGAAGAGATGATTTATGAAATACCCACCTGCATGCAACAACCCCAGTTGGAAAGGAGCCATTTTTTCAGCTGTGCAGGATGCCTTTGCTTCCTCATCCCTGTCCTGAGGCTCCCCTTCCTTCAGCGAGCATCATGCTGCGTTTTGGCTTGCTGGGGAGGATGCACACTCACTGTGGATTTTTTGTTCAGATCCAGACATATTTTCTCTGAAGCTCCTGTCAGACAGAAAGAGCCAATTCCCTCTGAGCCACAGCCTTTGCAGGTCTCTGATGAAGGTGAGAGAAATGAGGATGGATTGGCTCCTACCAAGAACGTTGCAGGTTCATGCAACTTGAAGGCATACATTGATGAGTTGCAGCCATGAAGTGCCATAGTGGCAGATTGATCTTTTTTCTTTTTTTTTCCTGACTGAGGAGATTACTCTAAGCAATGGCAAATTGATTAATTGCCCACGATGTCACATTTATAATGTTCCTCCTCTGAATTTTCATGGTATTTTCTTGCTTCCTCTTTCACTCTGAAGGCCACTGGCTTAAATTTGGCTTGCCAAAGTTAAATCTGCAGCTGTGCCATCAGACAAGTCTGTAATGTTCATTGTCTCACTAACAAAACAATGAATTTATGCTAGCAGCACAACACTCTCCTTTATTTATTTATTTTTCTTAATAAAACCACTCTCAGCCGTAACAAGAAGAAACAAAGAAAATCCAGGAAATACAGCATCAAGAAGTGTTTGCCTTAGTTGAATAATTTCCTTCCTGATGTGCAATGCTTCCCTAAAAGTGCCTCTGCGCTGCCTTTGCTTTCTGAGAAAAATGAAGTAGGAGAAGTTGCTCCACCTCCCAGCCAGTTTTCCTTCTTTTCATAATTTTTGAATTCCTTGGACATTTCAGAGAGATTTGAGGTGGCTTAGAGATCAGAATTTCCAGCAAGAGAATCAGGAGATGTGTAGAGCTGCAAATAACTCCCACTGCTGGCAATATCTGGGTGCTTATGGTCATTAGCCTTATGCTCTTGCGCTTCACCTAAAAGGCAATACTTACCTTGTTCCTGAGCCCCAGGGGATGTGTTCTGCCTGCAGAAAGTGTCCTGACACCTGTGGGAGCAACTTCCAGGGTATGCAGTCCTTGGGATCTGAGAACCTTGGCTTCTCCACTCAGCGTTAATTAGGATTGATAATAATAATTGACATGTTTGGAGCAGTAGCTCACAGGGCTCGTTTACAGCACACAGCTCTCCTGAGGGAGATCGTTAATAAATCAAAGTGCCTTTGGCCTTCTAAATCCATGCTAGCTCTACTAAAGCAAAACAAAAGCAGAGCTAAAATTTTAATTTTAAGTTACAAGGCCAACAAGATCCTTAGCAGAAGTTAACTTCTACAAATAATGGATCTAAATCTCTGGTCAATCTGGCCACACGACAGAGCACTAAGGGTGTTTTATTGCCCTTGTTATGTGTACAAGTATTTGAATGATGCTGATGCCATGTGATGGCCTAAGTTTGTAACAACAAGGAAGGTATTTATGGATGGTGACATGAGGTAGCTGCCCCAGTGCACCCAGATGACAGAAGTACTTGAAGCTGGGGCCAGCCTGCTTGGGGTGAGACAGGGCAGCCCTTTTCCCTTTCCCTTTCCCTTTCCCTTTCCTTATAGGGCATTAAATGGGAAACCGGGGTACGGGGACAGGGACAAAGGGCCAGGGTGAAAGGGAACTGGGGCAACTGTTCCCGCGTTCCCTTTCCCTTTCCCTTTTCCCTTCCCTTTTTCCTTCCCTTTCCCTTCCCTTTCCCTTTCCCTTTCCCTTTTCCCTGTCCCTTTCCCTTTCCCTTTCCCTTTCCTTCCCTTCACCTTTCCCTTCCGCTCAACAAGAAATACTCCCTCTCCTTCCCTTTCCCTTCTGTCCCTTCTTTCCCTTTGATGCATTGTAACAAACATGATGCTTTTGAAAAACTAAGGGATAAACAGCTTACGGGCACTTCATCTTCACCCAGTGACTTCTGCTGTCATAGTAGAAGAGAACACACACAGCTTCAACTGCACATTTTGGTTTTTAGAGTTTTTACCAAGAGGAGATATAAATTATGTGTTCAAATCTGTTTTGCGCTTTATGGTTGCCAAAGGCTATGTGTATTTTAAAGTCTTAATTGTGCAGACAAATGTAAAGCAGCTCCTGGTACACATAGACACAAGCCAGCTGTAGAGCATCATTGCAGCCCATATAGCTGTAAAATATTTTGCAGAGTATCCTTGGGCACACTTCGGTCATTAAACTGTCATATTTGCATTGTGTTTATTGACTCAATAGGGCGGCTGAACTCTTTTCCCCTTCCCTTTTAAAGATTATTTTTACATTGGAATTTTTATTGATGTCAGTCTAAAAGCAGTGATCAAGAGAGAACCTGTAGGATCATTCCAGTGCCAGGGAGTGTGTGTGTGTGTGTGTCTGTGTGTGTTAGAAGATTTGTGAGGTCCTTTCCAACCCAAACCATTCTCTGATGCTGTGATTTCTTTCCCAACTGGCTAACTGGGTATTTTTTCCTCATCATTAAGCTAAGGGTTTTAGCTAAATTTTATGACGTAGGAGTATTTCACACAACACTGAAAGCATAAAAAATATACCATCGGCTTAAATTTAGGACATAGAACAACCTTCACTTTCTGTATAACATGCAAACCTGAGGTTCTACAGTAATTAAATTTCTCTGGCTTTTTACACAGCAGTAGCCAGTGGCTCCGGTTTCCCTCAAGCTCCAGACTGTTCCTATCCGCATGAAGCTTCATTCTGTACCTGTCAGTTTCAGATCCACCCAACATCCTTCCTCTCCCCCTCTCTTCTATATTTATATGCAGTTTCACTGGGTATATTCGAGCCCAGGACTCATTCCCCTGGGTTTTGGTGGGCGGATGGGGAGCAGGTAGCTGTAAGAAAACCATTAGGTGTGCAGACTTCTTTCCAGCTGGTAGGTGTAAGCACTGCAGGGGAACACCAAACCAAGGACTTGTGAGCTCTGCCTGCCTGCTCCAAGCCAGCACACATTTTGGGGACTGCTCTGCACCAGCAAAGTTTACCAGGCTGCTACCAAGGGCGGCCTCTGATTGTGCTTGTTTTTGCCTTAGTTTAAAACAGAGGAGGAAGAGGTTAAAATGAGGATCTCAATGATGATATGTTATGGAAGCACTGTGAATCCTCAGGCTTATGGGACCTCTCAGTCACCCTTCCTTGGGGCCCGTTTGGATTCAGAGTACTGAACCAGTCGGACATTCACCAAAACTGGGGGTCCGTTCGGACATTCACCAAAAACGTAATAACCGCCTGGGGGTCCGCTCAGACATTCACCAAAAACGTATTAACCACCTGGGGGTCCGTTCAGACATTCACCAACAATGCATTAACCGTCTGGGGTCTGGTTAGATTCAGAACACTGAACTGTCACGGATAACCACCCTCACCCTAGTCGCATTAATGAGAGCTATCACAATCCAATCAAGTATGGTTTATTACAGCAACAGATAATCAGGTTCTTTTGGATTGCCGGTGATAGTGACTATCTGCAAAAGCAAGTTAGTATGCATGAAATACACAGGTGTTATAGGTGTTACAGATGTGACAGGTGTTATAGGTGTTACAGATGTTATAGGTGTTATAGGTGTTACAGATGTTATAGATGTTATAGGTGTTATGGGTGCACAGCCTAGAAATAAACGCGTTGAAAGGATCAAAGACTCTATATAGAGATTTATAAGCAAATATTCAGATCTCACCCAAAGGCGTCCCAATGGGGGGGGAAGAGAGGCTCAGCCGCCGACTGATCCCAGGAGTCAGGAGGTCCTAAGGATGCTGTATGTCCTCGGGATGGTATCTCCCTGACGGTGGTATCTTCCCTAACATCCCCTCTCTCTTGGGCCAATTTATATTATTTTCTATCTTCTAGGTGGAGCTTGAGTGACTCTAGTCAAGCATATCTTAGTTATGATTGGTGTAAAGTTTTCCCGTCTCCGTTTAAAGTAATAGGCTCCGAGAAATTCAGGGCGCATGCTCAGTGAGGGGTGGTCGCACCTTGGAGGCGGGTAGCTTTTGGGATGGAGGTGTGTTTTGGTATTATAATGATATTATAATGAGCAAAAAGAACACTAGGGTACAGCATTTGTCAAAACGTGACAGGTCTTTGGCTTAGGGTGGCAAAAAGTGCAGCTTTGTGCACAAGAACAATAGAGGTCCCACCGTCTACCTTGCACATCATATCCCAGCCACTAACACCTCACCGGGAACTTTCTCTTCTAATCTAGCTTTATAAAGGCCACGCCATTGTCCTCACTGAAAAAAAATGAATCCAGGTCCTTGGGCTGTATGCTTTTTTACCTAAAAGCTGCCAAACCCAGGCTTTCTGGTGTTCGCAGGAGAAACGTGTCCCCTGCTTCTGGTCCCAGAGACAAGATGCGGCGGCTGGAGGAGAGGCTCTCCAGCCAGGAGAGGACCACGGCCTTCCTCCTCCACCAGGCCTTCCGACTCAAGGACGACATTGTCTCCTACCTCCAGGAGAGCACAGGATATCAGCACAGGGAGACCGCTGCCCGGCAGCTGCTGGAAAACCATGTCCAGACCATTGCAGGAATGGTTCAGAAGCTCTGCCAGGACATAGAGGTAACACATGCTGAGGACTATTCCCGTGCTAATGCTAGGGAAAATGCTAGTTTCTGCGCATCTCTAATGCTGGCTTCATGGGCAGAAAAGTCCTTAGCATGAGCATTGTGTTTTAGGGAAATTCTGATTTTTCTCACGTAGTGGCACTTTCAGTTCCTGGCAAAAACAGAAGGGAGGGGAGTAGGAGAAATAAGAAACACAATTGGAAAGTAAAGCAAAATAACGAGCAGATTAATGAGTTTTGGGGTTGCTTTCCTCTAACTGAAAGGTTCAGATTCCGTTTGCTTTCTGTTTTGTTGGGAGTGTGGGAGACTGAATTCAAGAGAAATGAGTAAACTACATTTTCATCTAACATAGAATATGAAGGCTCAGATTTCATTTTACTTAGATTTATAGGTGCAGATGCATCTATAGGTTACATAAATTATGTATGCAAACAAAATCAGATGTTGAAACATTTCACAAAGCTCAGTTAAAACTGGGATGAAGGATCAGGTCACACTTTGAACTGACTGACAATTCTGTACTAGGAATACATGTGATGATTTATTTATTTATTTATTCTGACTAAATATGTTTGATTATTTGTGGTTATTTGACAAATTTATATGTGTAATTTAACAACACTTTTTGGCTTTTCTTCTTGGACAAAGGTGTACAGTACAAAAACATCATGAAATAGAATTCTCAAGAGATTTTTTTAATCCTTTGAAGAGTTAAATGTCCTCCAAATGCCACTAAATTCAAAATTTTGTTTTTCACATACTTGCAGAAGTATTTGACATGTAGTGCATTTGTCTTATCAAATATGAAATCTTGGCTCACCTGAGATCAGGGCTGTTTTATGAGAAAAACACCCAAGATGTTATCAGCTTTCTTAGTCTAATCGTTTTCCATGGTTGTAAATCACTCTTATTTAGGTCCTAATCTCAGGTGTGTGTTTGCTTTGTATGTGAGGATTTGTTGTGAGGCTGTGAGGATTTGCTGAGTGTAAATCACAGAAAGCAGCACGGTGAGACCTGTCGGTCACAGCCACCAGAGGATCAGTACAATTTGGGAGAACTGCTCCAGGCATATATCAAATTAGAGCGGTTGAGCAATGACCATCTCTCAAGCATTGTAAAGAAACAAGGGGATCCACAGGAATGTGACCGGCATACTCCAAGTCTTCCTGAAAGCAGGAAGAATATCCTTCAGAAAAAGGAGATTCTGCTCTGGGGAAGACACTGGCATGCTGCTGCCACAGGAGAGAAGCTGAAGATGGGGAAACACATCCCTCTGCCACAGCTGGAAAAGCCTGCTGCTGCATCAAAGTAATTAGTGGAAAATGGTCGCAACCTTAACGAATTTGGTGCGTCAGGGAAGAGACAAGCATTTGTGCATCTATGGCACGGGTGGGAGGGATCTGTTTGACACTCTGTTTCATGTCTGACCCTTATTTAAAAACAAACAAATAAATAAATAATGTAGAAAGCCCATAGTGCATTAAAGATCTTGAATTTACAGGTTTTGGAGAGGCAAATAAGAACAAGGGATGGTGCCACAGCGCAAACTAATTTTGCTGTTCAAAGCCTGGACCATAAATACATCCAGAGTCTTGGGGACCTGCGTGGAAGAGTGGCAAGGTAAGGAATAAACAACAGCCCCCTTTTTCATCTCTGTTAGTCAGCTTCTGCAAAGCGAGTTCAGAGCGGGCATGAATGTACTTTGCACTCATATCTCCATTTTAGTGCCAGATCTGTGCTGTGCATTGTCCATGTTAGTAAAATTATCAAGCCAGGGGGGAAAAATAACTATGTTGTCCTGTCTCATTTTTCATCACACACTTAAGACTGTAGAGAATTTATCCTTCCCCAGTCTGGCTAGCCTTCAGCTGTTGTAGTTGAAGCCTTCCTCTTGTTTCACTAGGAGGTGGTGTAGGGTTCTTCATTTCCTCTCTCGGAAGGTGGGGCTTTCTGAGCAAGCCTGATTTCTTTCTTTGAAGGTGGACTTCCACGGGTCATTTAAATAATATGATTAAAACAATGAGAAAACAAAACTCTGCTGTGTGATATCAAGGGAATACATGGATTAGGAGCTCTCTAAACCAATATATTGGAAAAAGTTGCCTTTAAGAAAGAAAGTCCCTTGAAGAACCAGCATGTTTCTAATGTTTTTTTTGCTTGTTTCTCCAGAGGCCACTGATATGCTTTTCATATAAAATCACTACTGATGATATTTGTAGATAACACCAAATCATCAGTTATCAGAGAATGTCCTGGATCAGGGGCCATGGGGGCTGGTTTATAAAAAATGCATTTTATAAACCCATTGAGGGAGTGCTCCACTCCTGAATGCTCCTTGAAAAGTTTGGGGAGTGTGTTAGGTAAATAACTGACTGTGAGTTCTCACAATGAAGCAGTATCAGAAATGCTAGGAATATGGTCTTGGGCCAGAGATCAATAGGGAGATTTTGATAGCTCTGTGCTTGGCACAGAGATTAGTACTAGAATGCTGTGCTGGGTCCAGAGTTCCCTTTCTGAAGTGAAAACTTGATGCAGTGTAAAGAAGAACCAGGAATGTAGTGGTGGGATGAGGAAAATTTCTGGCCAAGACAAGTACACATCTATGTATAGTTTCTAAAAATGAAAATCCAGAGATGTCTTCATTTCCATGTATAGCTACTGGGAGAACGAGAAAAAACTCATAGGGTGCTGAAGGCTGAACTACTCCAAAACTGATGAAGAAAGGCTCAAGAATCCAGAACTAGAAGCTGAAGCCAATACATCCACAGTTGGCAGGAAAACAGAAAAAAAAAAAAAAAAAAAAAAGTTTTTTTTTTTTTTTTTAACCTTGTGGCTGATTCGCATTGGAAGGAAGTAGGAGGAGATCCTGCAAGATTTTCTTTCTCTTACTGTTCTCAGATTCAGATGGGCAGGCTTTACAGACAATATGCTTTTGGCACAGTTGTAATATTCAGCATGTGATGTGTCTCACTACTCTTTCCCAGCATTTCCCTATTGCTCATGCCAGGTGCACTGAGGCTCACTCCCATTTTCTGTGCTGGATCACTGGCCTGCAGCAGAAAAAGCAAACACATGAAGGGAGAGCAGGAAAAAAAAATCTGGAGAGACAAAAAAAAAAAGGCCCACTTCCACTTGCACAAAATAAAAATCCAAGCAGAATAACAAGGAGGTGGGGCTCCTCTGGGGACCCACAGCATCGCCCTCCATGAGCTGCCTTCCTTGGCCCTCCCTGTCCACATGCAGCCCTCACCACGGGACAGGAGCTGCTGCTATGTGGGCACTGGCTTTGGACAAAGCTTTACGGGTGCTTGGTGCAGGGCAGGATCCTAAAAGACACAGATGGAACCACGTGTTAGGATTACCATGAAGTCAACAGCATCATCATCTTTTTAGGATGAAAGCTAAGTCTTAAGGTCCCATTTATGTTTATATGGTATATGTGGGTTCTTCATGTTTCTTCAGTCTCAGGATAAGCAATTGCTGTGTATAGCAAGTACAGCCCAGAGTGGCTGCAGACATAAGGTGCATACACGTATTTCACATTTTTTTGAATTAATAGAAGTCTTCCCACTGCAAACTTGCAATGACAGTTTTCCTATTGATTTGCAGCCTCACCTCAATCCAAGAGTATCTAGGATGAAATAAAGCTTAGTGGACCAATGCTCTTTCTCACGGCAGATGATTCTTCCCCATTTTCTGCCACATGTAAAGGATTAATGTGGATTAGCTCTTATAATTCAATTTGTGTCACTCTTTTCTCCCTCTCTGTCTTTCCCTGAAAGACAGATGAAGACCTCTTGCCAAATACTAGGGCAGTTGTCCATTGACTCTGAGACATTCTGACTGCATTTCTACACTATGTAAATATTGATGTGTCAAATAGCAGTGACTGAAAAAAAACAGCCTTCAACATCATCAGCTAACATCTCGCACCAGCTATATTTTTTATTTGTGTTTAAATTTGTAAAATATATTGAAACAATAATTCCTTTGGGAATGGGATCATGTATTAGAGCAACAAAAATAAGTCAATCAACTGAAAAAAGAAAGCACCGCTTCTTATAAATATTGACTGCTTATAAACACTGGCTCTTTTCAGCCTCACCCCATTCACTGCAGGACTCAAGCCACCAAACCACAGCAAGGCACAGAGCTATGCCGTGCACAGCACAGACACAGTTCATGGGGAGATGGAGTTTGGTGGCTACACCTCCAACAGGGTCCCCGCTGCTCCGACCCTGGCGCATTAATCCCACACTGCATCTCCAGGGCAGCCTCATTCCATCTGTGCATGTACAAAGCCTCTGTTATCTGCAGAAGCTTCTTCAATTTGCTTGATGTGAAGGCACTGTAGGAGTGTCACAATATCTCAGCATCATCAGGAGATGACAGTCTATTTGAACTGCCACAATTTCTCTTGACATCCTTTACTTGTCAACAGCACTGGCTTTATTCTGTGAATTATCCTTTTTGGAGGATAATTCCTCTGGCATTTTAAAACTTAGCTGTTTTTGTTATTCAATTTCTTCTTTTTTTTTTTTTAATGTTAAGAGGTGCAGTGCTTCGTGTAATGCACACACTGAATTGATTAGGATATTTGTTGCCATAATTTTGTTTCTAATGCTGCTCACACTGGAGCTTGCTCCTGGGGGGGCACATGTACAGGGGGGAACTCTGTCACTCCTCTCCTCCCAGAGGAGTGGTGCAGAAGCACAAGACTGCATCTTCTTGCTCAATTTGAATATTTTTACAATGTTATGTGAATATTTACAAATAAGCTAACAAAATAATCTTCCTCCTATGGAAAACAAAGAAAAAGCATATATGTAAATATACATGTATATACATTGTGCATATGTAATATGTACAGGTGCAATGAAGACAGAAGCTGAAAAGGGAAGATCATTGAATTTTAGGCATTTGGCTATTAATCAGTGCTGTTACTCTCAAATCCTTTATTTGTCTACTTCACACATGACAAGATATTTTTGTGAGTGCACCTGAAGGAGTTTAAATACAAAATGACAAATGCTTCCTATAAAACAGAAAGGTTTTTGCCTGTGGTGGCTCCAAAATTGATCTTCCCCAACACTGTCTGTTCTCACATGTCTCCATGCAGATCTCTTGTCTCTAATTGCAGATGCGAGGCAAGTATTGCAAAGCTATCAGGAGACATCAGCATTATCAGGCATGAGGTCCAGAAGATCGATAAGGAGATTTGCAGCCTTCACTCTACCCTCAAGTATTCTGTGAGTGGCTTTGAGAAGATGGTGAGTGCAGAAGCCCATGGTGAAATACCTGAGGAGTGGTGACTATGGGTATATGGAGAGCTTCCTCTCCTCCTCTGCTGACCAACATTAACAATGGATACAGTGCTTATATGACAGGATTATTATTTTTTTAAAATACAAATTAAGTAGCCTTTTTAATAGATGTAGACTAATAACAGATAATACAAATATTATAGGACTTGGGATACTCAGATCATTAATGACCCTTTACAGTTTCTCAACATAATTTAGAAGACCCTTGAAAAAAATCACGACGCTCTTTTAAGTGCACCTGGAAAGTTCAGCTGGTTTTCCTTCAGTTTTAAGGTGGTGGCAGGAAGGTATCTAATAGCATCTCCAATTCCATGTAAATGTTGGCAGTATCACAAAACGTTTTGAAAATACAACATTGAATTAAAAAAAAAAATTTTTTTTTCTCCATAAAAGCATAAGCCAACAACAAATAACAGCTGTTACTGCATACAATTCCTCTGAACCAGTCTCTTCTTGTGACAGGTTCTCTGCACCCAGTAGCAGTTTTAGATCCTCTGACAGAATCAGGAGCCTTAGCAATAAAATTTTGCATGAGTCCAACTTCACAGGGAAGTTTGGCTTTCTGAGCATGCAGCATGACACGCTCCTCTGCTCCTGCCCCGAACTAAATGTTGTCTGTGCCCACTGGGACTGAGCCTGGGAGCAGGTATAGGACATTCAGAGCCTCATGCACTTGGTATCCAGTATAAAGTCATTATCATGTTTTGACTTCATCTTCTGCTGCACAGGACAAGTTCCAGTCATTTTGTACCTTACCTATCCATGCATCCTATTCTACAAGTTAAAATTACCTGTGACAGTTTAAATGAAGGTATTTTACCTGGAATTCTATTATAAGACACTATTTGGACATCTGTCTCTTTGAATACATGTAAAAATGTTCTTCCTTCCCGGGAATGGGGAACGGAGCATGTGCATGTCAGAGTCATGTGCAATGGTACACAAAGCAGCAGAGACACGAGGCATGATGCTTTCTCAGGTGAAGTGGGAAAAGTTATTCTCATGTGACTGCAGGACAGAAGCAAAGGAAAGAACTGAAAAAAGAGCCATATTCTGTTGCAAAAAAATAAGGTACCAAGACAGCGTAATGAGTCTTTGGTGGCAATCTTTTGACATGGATGTGCCACAGCTACCAAATAGTTGGGGGCATCTTCTCACCAGGGTGTTTTCTGGCCTCATTTAGTGTAAAATCACCGAGGAACGATGCTGGGATTTAGCATCCCCTCTAAATTATTAATAAATTGGGGAAGGCAGGCTGAGTCACAAGCCCATCGGGTCAGACTGCCTTTTGGGATCAAGCATCTGCATGCAGCAGTAAGTGCCTTGGCCCAGGCTGTGCTGCCGAAGCTCATGGAGGGTGAGGCCACGCAAGACATGGGTTTCTGGTGGATCCCAGCCTCCTGCATCACTCTGTCCTACACCTTCCAAAAGCATCTGAGCATCCAGCATCCCTTTACATAGTGGGCACGGCCTCTGTGTCACCCAGAGATGCTGACTCTCCTCCCTTCTCTGCTCCGGGTGAGAAGGAGCCCAATTGGTGTTGGATACAAATGTGCACAAAAGATAAATAGGTGAATATCCCTGAATTTAATTGCAAAGTCCGTCTCCACAAAGACTTTGACATTGGTCTTGCAGCCTTGGTGACTTTGAGCTCAAGTCTGTCTTTGCTGAGTGTAATTATTTGCGAGAGAGTTCAGAGCTCTTCATATTAGCTGTTTTTTTTGGTTTGATTTTTTTTGTTTGTTTGTTTTTTTTTTTTTGTTTTGTTTTTTGTTTTTCCACTCTTGCAATCATAATACATATTTAAATATAAGTTCTTATAGTCTGGCTCATAAAGGTGTTCTCTGTTGAATTCTCATTAGGTAATGCAGCTATTAGGCAAGATAGAGGCTTCCAACCCTGATCAAAGCTCAAATTTAAAGACAGTCCAGGGAGATCAACATCACAAATTGCAACTTCTGGATTTCAAGTAGGTGATGGAGGGTTTTTCATTATTGTAATTCACCCTAGATTCTTTAGTATGATGAACAGGTTGCTATGAAACAGCAAAACAAACCCATTAATTAACATCCATTCAAAACACTACAAGAAGGTTAATGAAGATCTATGCTATAAAATAATGAAAATACATAATGAAAGTACATTGTCTTGCAAGCTAATTGTTACAATGAGGCACTAAATGCCACCTTGTAAGAAGAAAGGTATGAAACCAATTACCTCTCCACGCTTAAAAGAAAGGCACCAAATACAAAGACGCTATTTACCATTATAATTGCGGCTAATTTGTGACTTGCCTAATGCGCAGAAGACATTTTCTTTATGCATTTGCTCAGTTTGCCCATTTTTGAGAGAGGAGCCAGGGGCGGGGGTGCTGCTGATGGAGGGAGGTGGCAGGGACAAGCAAGGGATGGTAGCCAAGGGCTGAAGCAGGTGCATAGCTTCATGTGCCCTTGGATTTGCAATTTACTGTTTCTTTCTTATGAGGGATATTTCTCCTATTCTAGCTGCAAAAGTACTTTCACAGTGTCATTTTGAACCTGATGAGTTTTAGAGAAGAGGGAGCGCCATTGAGGGATGCAATGAATGAAAGTATGCAGCATCCATATTCAGGACAATGCAGAACAGCCCAGCATTAAAAGCAGAACCAGCACAAGTAGATGAAAATTTAATTATAATAATACTGCAATAACAGTATTTCAGAGGGAATAGACCCACTCCTTAAAATGTTGAGGTATTTGAATGATGGTTTATGATTTATCTGAATTGCATTCAGAGTTAAAAATATGCTAGAGCTTTAAATGTAAAAATGTTCCTGTCAAGAGGAAAGGAAAAGAAGTAGGGATCAATGGGGAAATAACAGATAAAATTGGGAATGAATTAAAGTGGGGAAATAAACAAGGAAGAATTACAGAGGGATGGAGAACAGAGAATATGAATCAAGACAAAGTGAGAGGAATGGGAAATAAAAACAAAATAAGAGGGAAAGAAACAGGGAACAATGCCAGAAAAGAAGGAAATCGGAAAACTGAATTGAAGTAAATGCTGAGATTCTCAAAAGTTAATTAGAGCTTGCTGAAACTGTCAACAGAAATAGGAAGCTGAAAGGGATGGCTTTCAAGGTCCTGAGATGTACTTGCAGTCGGTCTTTTAACATGAAATCCAAAAGGCTTATTTATCAAAATGCTGAGATTCTATTCCAGTTAATATCATATTTAATTAAAATAGCATGCTCTTTGGGAAATATGTCTGTCTTTTCCCATATTGCACCTTTAAAATTCTACCAGATTTATGCTTACTTTTTAAAGAGCTGAAATTAAATTTAACCTCTTTTGCTGGAACAGACTAGAGCTTCCACTTGCACGCTGGCATGTTTAGATCAGCTTGGAAGCCCAGAGCTGCCTTTTCAGCTGACACTCAGCTGTCTCCAACCAGCAGTTTTTGCAGTCTGGCAGTTGTCTTGTGGAAGTGCAGACTGATACTGTTACTGAGAACCTGATGAATTTTTAAAGTGTTTCAGGACTCCCTAGGTAATGTGGACCTTCACCATCAGGGGACTGGATGCTTATCTCTCCAGGCCAGTTAGCTTAGGAATATCTGTACTATCCATAGCAAAGCCAGCTCACTCATCAATAGATTTAGTTTCATGCATGCAGATTTATTGTAGCACTGCTGGAGTATGCTCCTACTAAATATCCACAAATATCCCTTTATTAATATTTCAGGGATCTGCTGGACCAGAGACTAGGCAAATCTGTGGTCTCTCTTGCTCCCCTGAGATGTAATTGTGTGAGCTCCATGTGGGAGGGATGGCAATTTAAGAAGCGTTCCAGTGGAGCAAAACAGGGTGCTGCTTAACCACCACGTTTTTGCCACATTTTCCAACTTGCCTAAACACTGGTCTCAAATAATTCATTTTTAAGTTTAAATCCTTTTAATTCCTTTTTTTCCCAAGTTCAGAGCATGCAGAACAAAGTCACAGGCCAACTGCATATCTTACTCCCCACACAGAATTTGATTTTTAACGTTTGAACAAAGCTGACCATCAATAGTCATACGTGCTTAATTCCACTTTACCAATTAAAATGATATCGATCAATATTTTTTTTCAATAATGCTAACAAAACAGCATCATCGTACCTCATTTTATGCCTCCAGGATGAAAATCAGTGATTAACTACACAAAAGGTCTATCTGACGACGTAGCAGCCCAGGTAGTAGTGGCTTTGATTGAGCCCTAACTCCATCCCTACCACCCCCCTCCAAAGCAGGGTTCAGATGGCAACTTGTACTATTCCAGCCAGGTGGCTCGCTCTGCTAGGTCTGAGGAAGGCTCACTGTACTTCTCCTACCCACCATAAACTACACAGATCAAACAGTGGTCTGTATCACCAGCATCATATCACAATATCATCTTATTTTCTCAAAAGCAAAGGCTAGTACTCCAGGAAGTAAAGTGTGTGCATGTTTGCATATGCATGTAAGGGCTATAAATGACAAAAATCAATATTTCAAATTTCTATTGTTAAAAAAAAAAACCACAAAACTTAGAATTATTAAAATGAATAATAAACTGGCCTAACAGCTGTTTGTGTACACGATCTCGGTAAGACGCTATCCATAGCAAACAAACTGCAGACACGTATCACTTAGGGAAATTCTGTCATCATTAATTTGTTTCGTACATTTACACTGGCTGCTGATGGTAATTATCGCTTCATTAGACTGATGCAAAATTGTTATCAATCCCTTGCTATAAAAAAACGATTTCACTCAAAGACCCTTTTGAGAAGTGCTATTAAGTATTACAAGTACTTTAAGCATGAAGTCTGGTTATAAAATCCTGCTCTTTACTGTTGGTTTCTGCAGTGTTGCCAAGCAGTTGATCCGTAATTCAGCCCAAGTAAATTTCAAGTGGTCACAGTTTGCATGAAAGAATGTGTTAGGAATTAATACCACCACATCAAATTTTTCTGTGAACTCAGGTCACCTGCATAAGCAAGAAAATTTAGATGCATGACTAACCTTTGACCTAAATTCACGTCTCGTCATGGCTCATGTTATAAATTACAAGCTGCAGCATGATAAAAACGAAGTCTAAAGCATACAGTTCTCTAGCCTGAGGGCTTGTATATTTGGTACAAGTGACATTTGTTGGCTCCTCTGGCCTGCCATGTCTCCAGGTGCTGCCTGCACTGGGGGGCCCTTCAGATTTCTGTCCAGCTGCTGGTTCAAAGGCAACCGCATTGTGTTTGTAAACTTTTACTCACAAACTTCTTTGATCCTTTTGAACTTGATTTTCAAACCACAAGGGGTTTGGCTGATCCCCCTGATGCCCAGCTACAAAGATGGTGTCCAGTGGGATAGTGTCGTTTCTTCATGCAGTTCAAATAAAGATCATTCAAATCAAAAATCCACATTTTTCAGCCCTCGGGTATTTTCCTAAATTAGACTGCACTGGATAAATCACATTTTGGCATGTATGCACAACCTCCAAGTTAAGGATTACTAAAATTACTGAGCTTAGGCCTTCTTGGGAAAATACCGAGGAGGTTTGGAGTAACTTGATTTACTCAAATGACTCAAGACTCCCCCATAATACTGACTAAACCTTAAGTCTCATTGCTAAAAATAAATAAATAAATAAATAATGATGATTTCAGGTTGACAAGCATTCTAAGCGACTTCAAAGATCAGATGCAGCACCAGCAGAAGTGGACAGAAGCGCAGCTGACACGCTCGGAGGACCAAGCCCAGCACAGGCACCAGCTGCTGAATGCCATGAAGGAGAGGCTGGTAAGGCTTTCCTCCACTGGGAGCATCCCCTGGGCAGGGTTTGGGGCTTGTCCAAGTGGCTTTTTAGTATCTCTGACAAAACTCCCAGCAACCTGGGAAATGCACTTTTCCTTGGTTATGGTAACTCTTCCCTTTCATGTAACCCCGGTGTACCTAAGGCAGTGGTTTCCTGACCCAAAACGAGCACCAGTGCCACCACTGAACATCAAGTTTTTATTCATTGACAAGCTGAGAATAGTAAGGGATCTTCTATGCAAATTCTGCCTGGTTTTAAATATAGACACCCCATCGCCATACTGCGGTTGGTATATTAAAATGCAGCGAGTTTGGATTCCGCAGCAGCAGTTAGCGCTTGGCACAGGACCAGTGCCTTTTAATTAATTCCTCCACAGCTTGAGAAGCTTTCCCTCCTTTGAAATATGCAGTTATATGCTCAGCCTCAGAGTTCAAAACTGATTAAAATATGATCACCACGTCTCAGTGCCGGGATGAAGAGAGCTGATCAAAGACCACATTGAGAACAAGGAGAGCATTTACTGCTGTGTGAATGCAGTGCTGTGGAGCAGCCAGTGGTCCTCTGGGCATCTCCTCCCTGAAAAAAAACACAGCTCAGCCCCCAGGGGTGCCCAGAGTATGTTGCCAGCACCACCCCAAGCCCTGTTCAGGTTCAAACAAGCCTGCCATGTTTGCAGATACCTTCCCTGAGAGGCATTGCCCTGGGCCTACAGGAGTCTCTGAGCCACAAGACCCAAGGGTTTTGACCAAAATAAATGAAGAAATGAAATAATAAAATCACCTCTGTCCTGGCCCAGCCCTTTCCCCTGTTCTAGTGTGCTGGGGAGGAGAGGATTGTCATTCCCTCCGGGGTACCAGAACTCACCTGCACTCCTGCAGTGCTGTTACTCCTGGGATGAAGCAGCAAAACTTGACTGGAGTCAAGGATGCCAGGTGTCAGGTTAGTGGTGGGCATACTGAAAGCACCTTACCGTGAACTTCTTCTCTGCATTTAAAGGAAGCAGCAGAAAAGAAAATAGATGAAAAGCTTCTGCTTCTGTCACTAAAGCTAGAACAGACAGAGAAACCAGAGGAATACAAACAAGAGTTGAACCAGATGAGAAGTGATGAAAACAACCTGCACGCAAGAATCACCAGATTTGAAAGACAGATCTGGAAGGAGCTTGAGGAAATCCAAAACGAATACAGATCAGGTGAGAATGATCTTTAACGTAGTTCATTTTTTAAATAAATGTGTACAGTGACTTACTGCTGCAGAAAATACTTTCTGGCAAAGGGAGAAAGACCTTAACAGGACTTTCTCTCTCCTGAGCCCCAGTTAGCGAGGCGTCATTTCTAGGTGTCTGGGTCAGCCCACCTGCACCGCCGGCAGCCAGCACAACATTCACACACAGCTGCTGTCTTTTCCTGGGGGTCTGATGGCAAGGACACTTAAAAGGCAATTTCACAACCAGCTTTCCAAATATTTTAGAGTACTTATTTCTTCCACTCATGGGGTCACTAACCTTAGTTGGGAGGTGCAAGTCTTGCCTTCTCCCACAGGTCCTGCTCCCGTGAATGTGTTTGATGACCTCTATCATTTCCATCCCTTATGCCCTGCTCTCAGCTAACAACAGCTGGAGAAAGAGGCCCCTGGATGTGTAACAAATACCCTCCATGGGCCACACTTCACACAAATGAATGGGGAAGCATTTGGGTAACACTGCTGAATTCACGGTGGCTGCTTCTTATAGTATGCCCATCTCAAACGTAGTTCTGAGAACATGAGCACTGCACCAATCTGAGCCTATTCTGGCTGTTCAACCTTCAGCAGCAATTAGAAGTCCTTTACCTGGCACAAAGCACAAGGCTTTCAAAAGGACAATTCTGCCTGCCATAAACTACCCTGCGTCGCTCAATCCATTGCAATACCATCTACTTGCAGCTGATAATGGAAACAAAATGGAAATGTCAGGTTATCTGAAAAATCACTCAGCCCATCTCTGCAAGGGAACAGATGGCTGAAAGTCATTACACAAGTGCTTCACATCTTACATGTTCTCACTTGAAACTCAAGCATCTGGTGCTCATCTCCAAAGCTGTCTGTGAACTAGGACCCCAGCTCCTTCGTGCAGTTCCAATTCCTTCATTTTCCACAGCCCACCTATGAGCCTGGGGAAGAAAAGGCCACTGAAGAGGTGCAGAGCAGTATGAAGGGCACAGAAGCAGCTTATAAATGGTCTCAACAGCTGCTTGGGCTTTAGCACAGATCAGCATCCTGGAAATCAGACATGGTCAGAATTTATGAAATTCTAAGCCCTATGCAGTGATTTCACTGAACGCTATCTAGTGTGTAGCAGTGTCAAAATTAATCCATGATAAACAAGTGTTCAAAAAGAAAAAAAAAATAAGGAACTGTCATGTTATTGCAGGCACTTTTAAAAAAGAGCACAACAATTAATTTTATATGTAATATAAAATATTTTATCCTTACCTTTTATATTTTATAAAAGTTACCTTTCAATGTAACTTGAAAGGTACTGCAAAACGGAAACAGCTACCTAACAGCAGCTTAATTTTCCATTCTTTACCAACAATGTTTAATTGTACTATGGCTCAATAAAAGTGCTTTGTACTTCTGTTTTTAGAAGAAAAAATAACTGCGTCTGCACACTCCCATTTCTTTTCTATAGCTATATACAAAGCACACATGGCAAGTGAAGCTGAGCTCCCACTCTCCCAGCTGTGTATGAAAAAACAGTGCCCATCTCAGATGAAACGTAATTTTTATTCATAGTGGCTATAACTCTGGGAGATTCATGACACAAACCTTGCTGCCTGCAGGTGGGCAGACTGCACATCAGCCGTGCCTACATCTGTTTCCCTGAAATTGGCGGTCTTGCCATTTTATTGCCTTCAACGTATCAGCTGGTTATCTGATGGCAGATGCTGAGTTTCTCTCAGTAAGATGCCAGGCCAGCAGAAATTGCACAGCTGGCTACAAGCTGTGGGGCTGTAAGATGGACAAGATGTGCTGGGCAAGCACTTAAACCCAGTCTGCAGACTCCAAGGGTGCTGCAGAAATGTGGTCACTCACACATACCTGTACTTCAAGGCACTGCTACCAAGCACATTGACGGGAGTGTCTGATTCAAAATAAGGACTGCAAACTCAAATATATAAATAAAATAAAAATCAGTGCTCAGCAGAAGACCATTACACTTCAAAAGCTAACAGTACCCTTGGTTTTAAACACAGACATAGCATTTTCTTAACTCCAGACCATAAAAATGTCAGTTACAGTTTACTTCTGTCATGCTTGGCATTGTCCAGTGCACTGGGAGATACTAATCCTATAGCAAGGAGTTTGCAACCTAAGCTGCTAATACCTGTCTGTGGTATTCAGTAAAATGATGAAATAAATAGGTTGGGTTTAATGTGCTCTGAATTACACGTGGGTCAGAAACCTCTGCAAAGGGGAAAAAAAAAAAAAAACAACACAGAATCTCTTAGTGTATTGAAAGCAACCACTATTTAATTAATTGTTCCTATTCTTCTGCCAGGATTTCAATCTATTCATGAGTCTCTGGAGCTGCTCAAACAAATACAGAACGCAAAGCTGAAGCTTGAAAAAAAGAAGATGAAGAAAGACACTCAAAGATACAAAGCAAGTGACCTCCCATGAGAATTAACTCCAAAAGCAAATCCTTATCAACACTTGCAGGTGCTCTCTCCAGCGAGAAGCATAGCTGGATTAAAAGAAGCAGTCTTTAGACACACCCACCTTCGTTTCCTCCTGTCCCTGCAGGATGTTCTTGTGACTTATCACATTGTGCAGACACAAAAATAGCAGCTTATACCAATTTCACAATAAAAAGTACATGATTTTCTAAGGATTGACTTTAGAATTCTGCAAGCAGATTTCATACAAAGGCATTCATGCTCTTTAAAGGACTTTAAGAAACCTATTACTCAGTCCATAAGCAGCGTTAGCCCCATCCTGCCATAAGCTATATTGGTTTTAGATTGGTGTAAACATTAAAATCAGCCCTAGCACATTCCTCCAGCTCCAGTGTGTAGGTAGTAATAACATCCTGAAATGTGGCATGGTACTGATGCATGACTTGGCCTGACTGTAAGAACTTACTGGATCATTAAAAGTAGCTAATAAATCAGGTACAAGTGTGATAAAATGCAAGTTAATTGTTAGCAGATGCATTATTAAGAAAGCTTATCTCACATCTCTTCTGTTTCACTAAATGAAGCGGTGGTTAGCAGTATAGTACTCAAAAATGTAACTGACATCAGAAATTTTGCCTTACTTAAAAAACAAACAAAAACACAAGAAAAGAAATCTGTAAAAAAGGAAAAAAAATGGAGTAGAGCAAAAGGAACATATCACTCTGATTTCCCAACAGAGGCTAGTAGGAGTTCTTTAGCAATGAGGCGAAATAAGTTAGTCATGGTGCGATTGCAATAGAAAAATGAATATTTAAACTGTAACATTTGTTTCCCGAAGGCCTAATGCCATCCGTCTCTAAGAGAAGGAAATTCAAGAAGACTGAGATAACCTCCTGTCTCAAGGCTCTTGTGCTTCTTGCTCTACAGAAGAAGAGGTTTCTCAAAACCACAGATTCCAGGTGGCTTCTCTTAAGATGCCAAACCTGCACAGCATGGTTGCTGAAACTGAATTGATGCAGTCAGTAGGGAACCCTACTTCAGCAATTAATCATGTTCACCCCTGCTGGGAGAAACTTTTAACAAAGTGTTAAAAGCTTCTCCAGTAACTAAAAAGTCCTAGAAAATGATCACTTCTTGTAAAAAACACAACAAACAAACAAACAAACCAGCAACCAAAGTCACAATATTTCTGCCTTTTCACTGAGGCCAGATTTTTCTGAGCAGAGTTTTGGGTTGATCTGCATTTGTCACATTTTCTACGTGCAGCAGATTGAGGTATTGTGAATTCATATTTTAGTGTCACTTCATATTCTGTCCATTTACGGGTACTTTCCCTTCCCTGTAGACTATGTGTGGGGTCTTAAAGTCTTTCAATGCAGTCACAGCACAGCAAGACATTTGGTAAAGGGCAGTCTCACAACCTTCCTCTACTTTGTTCTAGCCACTCTTGCAATTTTTCACCCTTGCACCTGTCTGCCAGAGAAGCGGTAGTTGGTATGGCTTGGTGTATTGCCTCCACACTGTACCTTGGCTGCTGAGCAGCAGCAAAAGGAGGAAATGCAAGGTTACTGATGAATGTGTTTCTGAAAGCAAGTGGTGTCAAAAATCACCCAGGAAAAAAAAAAAAAAAAAAAAAGACAACCTTCAGAGTCTAACCCTGGATCAGAGGAAAGGACAGAACTATTACTACATGTTTCCTAATTACCTATTCCTTCATGTGGGAATATGCAAAAACCAAATGTTCCTTTACCTAAATACTGATTTGTGTGATTCTACTAGAAGGGCTCAGGGGTACAATTATAAATTAAGTTCATACAGGAATATATATTCAGAGCATTGCTATTGTTTGAGTGACATAAAGGAATTGTCTCAGTATTTATTACAGCTTACTGTGACCAAACTCAGAACGATCCCTGAGAACAGTAAAAAGTTATTTAACTGTCAGTTGTCAATTCAACAGATAGCAAATTATTTGGGAGAAAAGAATAGCTAAGTTCTAGACATCCATGACCACATTCAACTGGACTGCAAGACTGTGGATGCAACTTTTCATTGTAAAGTTGTTAAAGTTGTATTTGTGCATCTTTAAAACAGTTCTCCAGTTTTATGTTTACATATTAAAATGATTAAGTGTTCTGAGATATGAAAGATGCTCATCAAAGCAAAACTTGCCTCTCACACAAAACTCTCTGAAAGAAAGAAGTAAACATCTGTGGCTTTGTTAAACTCTCAGGTTAGGCAAGACTACTTTAAATTAATGTAATTACCCACTGTACTTCACGATACCATTTTGAGAGAAACCTCAAGAGTTGAAAGGAAATCCAAACTAGCAAAAGAAATACAGAGAATTAAACAAATGAGAGACCCAAGTAAACAAAAACTCTCAGAAGCAAGCCCTTTTCCTCACATTTATATAAAAAGAAGTGTAAGCATAAAAAAATCTTCATAACTGAAGCAATCAGAAGTTCTGCCTTGAGATTCAGTAGATCTCATTCCATTCTGCCTTCAGCATAAGACAACACAATAAAACTTAAGTATAATTTGGGTATGTTTTTTTGTTCCTTTACATTAGTAGCAGCCAAATGTATGGCATTCCAGTCAGTGAAATTCATAACCAGCTCTCAGTTCTTCATTTCCACAATGCTTATGTGCCTTTGTATAGTACTTTGAATTTTAAAGCTGAGCTCTACAATGGTAACAAACAGGGGCTGTCTCAACCCCCGTGAATTCACCCATTTTTTCAGTGGTAGAGCACGCTTTCTGTGAGTACTGATTTTGTAGAGGCTGCACGCTATTGAGGAGAGCAAGATTTTTACCTCACATTGTTTCGTTTTACAGAAGCTTAATTTTAAACTCAAGTTCCCTGAATGCTTTTCATTGAGTAGGTGGTAGAGATATGTGGTGTGTTTTTTTTTTTTTTTCCCTACAGGGCATGTAATATACTTTTGGGCTGTTTCATTTTCTTGTTCAAAGAGTTCATCATTGATCACTGCAAAAGTCATTGACTTCATGGTCTTCTGAAGAAAAAAAACACTGACTTTTTATTTTATTTTTAATTTAAATACACAGATTATTCAGTTGATGGTTACTTAAGGCAGATTCTCTGGCCTGCTGTCTTTTGTTCTCCTAGGTGCTAAAACTGGTGCTTAGCATAGGCTCAAGTGGAAGCATTTCTGTCTAACACATTAAAAACAAGGGAAGGCAGCCACTTACTGCACTGTCATCAGGCTGGATACGATGGCTCTCCCACCACTACAGTAGGAGGCATAAATACCAAAACCATATACAAGGATATGAACTACAAGCTGTAAGAACCCCTCAAGGCTATTAATAGCAGAGAGCTAAAAAAAGTTACAGCTAGTTTTGAGAGTCACGAGTCTGGCTTTTCCAACATTCCCTTTTAATATTTGCAGTTAATGATAATTCTAGACTATGTGAGCAGGCTGTGAAGGCAACCACAATCTAAATTTATCAAAAAAAATCTTTTTAGAGTAAGGTATTTTGCATTGAGATGGGTGGGAGAACGAAAGTGTGGGAGACGAGCAGGGATTCTTGCCATTCAGAAAGCTCACCTCCACAAAGTAGAAAATCCAGCCTACTGAGCTTAGCTTTCTGGCTTAAAAATGACAGCGGCTCCTGATGACAGCCTGTGGCTCCCGCCTGCTTTCCATGCATCACTGTGCGTGACTGGATGCCAAGATGTTCTGGGTGGGAGCCTCAGTTATCCCTCACCCCAGCTCAGCATCCCGTTTTCTTTAAGCCAGATGCGAGTGGTCCTGAAAGCAGCTGTGAATTCAATCCAATCCCACTATTTCAGCAGCACATCGCATGCCTTGGAAGTGTCTGCTCTCCTCTCATATGGGATATTCACCATTCTAAGACTTTTCTAGACATAGTGTCATACAGAAATTATAAACTAGGAATGGACAGCTATCATGACTCTCTTGTCAACAGCTTGAAAATTGCTAATGGTAACACTAACAGATTAGAATCACTGCTTTATTTTTTTTTTTTATTTTCATGTACATGAAGGCAAAATAACATCATGTATTAAGAACCACTGTCATGATTCATCCCATTAAGCAGTCAGCAGCAGAATTAACAAGACATAAATATAGCCTGTTATGCACAGTTATAAATATGACCCTGTCCCTGATGATCACAAGCTTATCTTGATGAGAACATTTACTCAAGCCTGCAGTCAAGGATACGCTGCTGCAATTAAGGTTAGCTAACAAAAAAACTTTAAAAAAAAAATGCATATAAACTGACACCACATATGAAATTCCAAGTGGATTTGGGTCTCAACATCAAAACAAAATATATTGAAGGAATAGAGGCATTTTAAATTTGCGTATGTTTTATAATACTTGTGAGGGAAGAAAAGTTTGCTGCTAATTAGCTAGTAAGACTCCGTTCCACGAAAAAAGAAAAAGTAGAAACTTTTTCAACATTGCATCACTGCCAATGCAGTTAATATTATACTTCTCTGTGTGTAGCCAAGGGGTAAATAGAAGACAAGTAGACCCCATTGCAAGCAGTACTGACATCTTAGTGAGGAAGGAAACAAAAACAAAATTCAGGGTTTTCCCTTCAAGCCAAATGTGTTTTTGACATTCGGCCAACCTCTTTTCAGTGATTTGCAGGGATAGGACAAGGGGCAATGGCCACAAAATGGAGCACAGGCAGTTCCACACCAACATGTGAAAGAACTTCTTCATGGTAAGGGTGACGGAGCACTGGGACAGGCTGCCCAGGGAGGCTGTGGAATCTCCTCCTCTAGAGATATGCAAGGGCCATCTGAACACCTACCTGGGCAGCCTGCTCTGGGAAACCTGCTTTGGCGGGGGGTTTGGACCCATGATCTCTGGAGGTCCCTTCCAAGCCCTACAATTCTGTTAATCTGTGATTTTATGGTGCGACCCATGTCAAAAAACAAACAAAAAAACCCCTTGAGTTCAAGAAAAAGTGAAACTAAGGATAAAGCTGCAGCTAGGGCAACAAGTTAAACTGGATACAAACGAATAAAAAAGTCCAAACCACATATACTCCTGAAGGATGGCCTGATTAAGTTGCTTGAAGAGATTTTCCACTTCAGATAGTACATACTAGGCACTTGATGACAATTTCGTGTTTAGTTCCAGAGCTCTAACATCTCCATTAGCTTTGGCATTTTCTACAAGTGCCTACAAGGAAATCAAACAATGAAAAATTGAGAATTTTCTAAGTTTAGTGTTGGTATATTTTACTGGAAATCTCAAATACATTTTAATTTCTGCTACATAGCTTCCCTGAGAGATTTAAGTAACCCTTCAGTCCAGATAGGAAACATGAACATTACACATCAGCTTGCTTAAAACATTATTCACTTAAAAACAAACAAACAAACAAAAAAAAACCCACTCTCTAGTCGCCCGTTAAACATGTAGTGACTTGCAATGCACTATAGTAGCATCATTTGTTACTTGAGGCTGAAAGTGAGTTTGGTAAGTAAGTTCCCTGCTGGCAATGAAACAAGCAGAGCTGGTTGAGACCCATCTCTCTGCCAATGCACACTTGTTCCCTGCTAGAGCATTTGTATAAATCTAAATTTGTCAAAAAGAAGCTTTCCGTGCACCTACTTAAACAAAACTGCCAAGGTTTCCCTTTGCCTCTCCCACTTAAATTTAACCTTTCACCGTTTACTTTCCACATGTCATATTTGCAAACTTTTCTACTAGTTAAAACATCTCCCCTGACAGCCTAATGTTCACTGATCTTTATAAGCTTCTGGCACTTCTCTTGTAATCTAGTTACATTATACATATTTAAAATGATAAACATTACGTAGAATCAAATAAATATTAATTTTAGTCATTATTCATATTGTACTCACTGGTAGAGAGTACAGATGACTTTGCAGAAGCAAGTATAAGGAGATCATATCAGGATCATCCCAACTCATGATTTAATTTGTTTTCTTCTTAAATGAAGCTCTGTGTCTGTGTATGGATTTTTAGCAATGCCAAGCCTACTTAATGTTTGATCTTGTTAATGATTCAACATTTCACTGTTATCCAGAACAAAAGAGCCCATCAGCACAGTATACAGATTACTAAGAGAATGTTCTAAGCTTAAGTAAGCAAAGTGATTCCAATTACAAGCCAAATTTAACCACCTCCTTTTATATCAGTGTGGATTTCTGAAATTGACCAAATCAATTTGCAGAGCACTCTGAATAAAAAATAACGTACCATTTACTATGAGAAAAAAAAAAGGTACTATCACAGATATAATAAAAATTGTAAGTACAAAAAGCATAGCCTGCTACTGCTCATATCTTTTGGGTTAAGGCATACCACACTGTTCCAGACAGGCTTGAGGAAATCAGCATTCCTGATTGCATTATCACATTCAGGTAAAATTCTGTTAAAATGGTCCTCATATCTACTGAGAAGTCACTACCAGAACTTTCTAATTTGGATTAGAGTGAGATTTTACTGTTTGATTTTCATTAGTGTTGCAGGGAGGGAGAGAAGGCTTTTCAAGCAAACTGAATACAAATTGAGCTGTGTTTTGTCAGCATGGAATTCCTAAACACCACAACCTGTAGCACAGAAGACCCACCACTTCCTTAGCTTCTCTCTACCCCACTTACAAGTTAAAAGCACAATACTCAATGGAAATCGATTGAATTTCTATATGAAGTGGACTGTCTTACATCTATTAATTCGTAATCATCTTTGGCATACAGATGCTGCAGGAGGTACCAGCGTGCCACTGACACTATGGATTCTGGATTCCCTGGTTGGTAGACCACTCTTTCCAACATCCGACGAGTCTCCCTGGAAGCATAACCAAAACAATCCAAATCAGCTGTAAAATTTCACTGACTAGATTGCATGTAACACACCAATATCTGACAGTAAGCAACAATAACCAGAAACAGCAGACGCTCTCTTGTTAAAGAGCTACAAAAATAAATCTTTTGGAAGACAGATGCTCCCGTGAGAAGCAGCTATTATGATGAGTCTTAATAATCCCAAAGAAATTTAATATTATACACAAATATATAATCCAGGCACTTACAAAACAAAACGTACTACAGTTCCTGTAAAACACAGGGGCAAGATGTGAAATTGCAGAAGAGAGGGATTTTTTTTTTTTTTGATAGAGTACCACAAAGAGTTCTAAACCTTATTTGGCTGATACTACTTTCTAAAACTAGCTAGCCAGCTACTAGCCAGCAAGTAGCTAACACAGACGTTTTCTAAATTCATCACATTATTAGAAATGTGGCAAAAACTTGCAATTAAGTTTAAGGATACAGCATTCGCTTAGTGGTACACAATCAGATTTGGCTTTTGTTTTGAGAATTCTGTCCTTTATATCAAACATGATTTTCTATTATGTTGTGGTTTAACAGACTGTTGAGAGGTTACATCTGTTTCTGTTTTGTTATTTGTAGTTAAGACAAATTTCTTGTTACAGGATTTTGAAACATTTTGCCTGATTGATATATCACAGGATCTAAACAATTGTTAACTAAGTGAATATTTGAAATTAAAATAAAATGGATTTTAATTGACTACACAAGTTTCCAGTCCAATTTTATTATAAACAACAACTATCACTATCACATTAAACTGTCACCTTCCTAAAAGCTCACAGAGAAAGTAAGCCATCTCAGAACCTGGAGAATCTAGTTCATTAAAATTATCTATAAAAAACATCTACAATTTTCCAGTTTTCCACAGCTTAACTAAAATATCTGTGAGAAAAACCTTGACTTAATAGCCAGGCTCATAAAGCTGTTTTTCTCTTTGCGTGAAGGTCATTTACAGTTTTTTGTGAAGAGAAGGAAGATTCTGCTGCTTTCAGTTCCCCACACTACTAACCTCCTCCACTCCCCCCTCCCTTTTAAAGTCACTTCAAGAATTAATTCCCGTTTTCAATTTTCTTTTAGGTCTTGGAGTTAGATCTAGGCATAATGACCACTTATACTTCTAGGCAGTGTATTCCATTTAAGCTTAAGAGATCACAAATACCTTGCTCCCATTTTGCGATTATACTGTAGTAGTGCTTGCAGGAGAGATGCCAAGGGGCAGGATGAGAGTTTCAAAGCTTCAGTTGTTGCCTCCTGAACCAAGGATGGCCAGTGCTCATCTGGGACATTAGCCTGTGATTTAAAAAAGAAAAGGGCTTCAGTGTAGCACGAAATGTAAGTCAGTGTTTGCAGCTCTCTACAGAGAAGGTTTAATTCAAACTGTTCTGAGTTACACAGAATGTTTGGCAAGTTAGTAGGAAACTTCATAAAAACACTGATTAGAAGAGCCTGGAAAAGTCAAATTAAGTTGACTTAGGCAAGCCTACATTCCACTTGCTTATTTATATGAAGAATCTTTTTGTTGTTTTTCTGTGTTTTTTTTTGTTGTTGTTGTTTTTATTCACATGTGTTAGTAATGACTGTTTCAATCACAAACCCTTTGTTTGCTCTTCATCTTGTTAACCTTCACCCCATTAAAAAAAATATGTTAGAATATAGAATTCATTCCCAGAAAAGACTGGAGAATATAACATTTTACTAGAAGTAAAAACCATCTCCAAGATGTGAATTACCTAATAAAGCAACTATTGAGAAAGTTACTGTATCTTTTGGCTTAAGGAAACCTTACTATTGTCCAGATAGAATTCATACTACTGTGCTTGAAGGGGTGCCTAGGTTTTGACCAGGCTCTTGCACATTTCATTACGCCAGTACTGATTAGAGAGGCCTAATAGGAATCCATGCATCAACTGCTCTGCTCATGCAAACGTAGAGACGAGATGATGAGTTTCACTCTAATTATATTTTAAAATGAACTCGTATAGTATCATGCAATTTAGGCCAGTATCTAAAGAAGTAGTGTTAATTCAATTAAAGAGTACCTTGTGACCTACGCAGACATTTAGGAGACTTAAGAAATAGGAAACAGTATACTAGAAAAAGGGCAGAAAAATCACGGTAAGAAAAAATTCTGCCACTTGACAAATTCTGCTTTTGAAGCAGATGGCTTGTGAGAAAGGAATTGGTCTACTGTGATGGGGATTCTCTTTTCCCACCAGAAGCAACAGCTTTGCAGGTTTATCCTCGGTAAAGCTGCCTGTCTTTTCTTAAATAAGCACTCAGGGTGCTATGGGGTACCTTTGCCTGATTTTGGATAAGGCTGTTAGCTTGATTATCTGTTAAAATACATCAGAAAGCGTTAGCCAAAATCACAACAGTATCTACCTGTTATATCAGTTTGAAAGAAATGTGACAGTGCACTGCAAGTTTCTAGAGTGACAATGCCTAAAGAGAATGGACACTCTCCAAGGAACTGAGTTATGTTCACCTGGCCCCTCGGTGCAAGGAGTAAGTAGAACAATTTTCTTTATATCACAAGGTACACTTCCCTTAGATTGTCTTTATACTTCAAGGCAAGGCACCATATCTAGAAATGACCATAGAGCATACAGTTACTTAAAATCTGACCGAAGCCTCCAGGCACCAGTACAGGAAAAGCATTTATTAAAGCTAGTTATCTGAGCATAAGGACAGAGATTTGAAGGGTACAGCATTTTTGATGATGGAACTGAATCTATTAGAGAACTAAGCTTTATTGAACAAGTTAGCCTGTTACGTACCAAGTGATTCTACTTGATTATTTCACAGCAACCTGTCTTACAAAGGAATATTCTATAAACAGCCCACTGCCCCTTGAAGTTTTATTTTATTCTCTAGTCAAGTTGTCACTCATAAAATGCTAAGTCATTTAAACAGGAGTTTCATTTAAAGACTGCAGAAGCCCTACATTACATCAACTCCTGTTACATCATGCAGTTATATAATTTTGATTATCCTACCATGCAGATTTCCAGTGCTAGCATAGCCAGCCTGAGCAGACTGGATAACTTCCCACTCCAGCTGCCCTGCTGTGACGCCAACTTCAGACTCTTTCTGTAACACATCTCTGCTCCAACCATCATTCCTTGGGACTGATATACTTTTGCCAGCCACTGAAAATAAACAGACAAAAAATCATTTAAGGAGCCAACAAAACACGCATCCCATTAGGCAATACAATTTATACAATTTGGTGTTATTTTATTTAAATAAAAAAAAAAAAGGAAAAAAAAGAGTGCCACAGTATAGCATTAGCTAAAACACTGCCACTCACCCCACCCTCATTCCACTGCACACTATCCTGCAGGAAAATGTAGCTTCCTGATGGCATAGCCAGCAGTACATCTCACTATAGTAACTTATGCCAGACATCTACATGTATGTCCAACTATCTGATAGCTGTCTTCATCTGGAGATTGCTCACAGATGAACAAACAACATGACTAGCTTTGTGGAAGTCTAGAAAGGCTAAAAGAGAAAAAGAGAATTGTGTTGTGCCTCGTTTCTAAAAATTCTGTAGAGGTTAACAGAGATTCCAGCACAACTGAGTAATTTCAGGAACATGAAAGATATTACACCGTGAGACTGAGCTCAGATAATGGGTGTATAACTTGCACTACAAAGCTTCTTTGCCTACCACAGTCATCCTGGAGGCACTACACAGGAAAAAGAAAGTAGAAAATAGGACCTGTGTGCAGAGTTTCACGCTCCTATGACCTGTTTCACCAGCTCTGGATTCACTCACAAAGAGAAGGAAAAAGATTCTAACTTTTCCCTTGTTAATGTTGTAACCATGTCACATTTTTCCAAGGAGAGACAGCCACAAGTTTGCAAATCCCTGACATATGCATGATATATATCAAAATGCATGAGGCACATTTAGAAGTATTATTTCCTGGATAACCAAGCAACCAAAGCAACTTCTTTTTTGAAAAGAGAATTATCCTGCTTTTAAGAAAAGGACTTTTGCTAGCTAATGACTGCCTAATATAAAAAGGGTCAAAATTCATAACCCTTTCTGATGCACAGAAGTCATTTATCAAAACAGATTTTTTAGTATGTTCCTTATTAGCACTAGTGAGATTATGAACCTTTGACATCAAGCTGCAGGACTGCTCTGTTGAGTAATTCAGGTGCTCCACCCTCCCCCTAAAACCTTTCCTTGGGCTCACTGCTTCGCAGTTGAAGATACCTAGAGCACAAGATGCGAAGGAGAAGAGAACGCTCATGCAAGTGCACCATAGCAGACCTGCAAGACTAACTTTTCACTGTCTCGTTGGTAAGCCACAGCACAAGAAGAACAGCCGTCAGAACAGTAGCACAATACCCCTCCTAAATCCCAGAACAATCATTTAGACATACACCAAAAAACTTAAGCAAAAATCTAAGCTAATGGCCACTCTAATTTAGTAAAACTGTAGGACACTGTGATGTATACTTCTGAGTACGACAAAACATTTACCAAACTCTTAGGAAGTCTAGAGCCAGAATACATGAAAGCACAGAGCTATTCACTAGGAGCAGCTTTAGCAGTCGGGCAAGCTTCTTGAGAACTCTGTCCTAGCCCTGAGAAATATTTTCTTTAAGTGAAGACTGGAAAGATCTTATCCAGATGTATTTTATATATTCTATGACCTGGATTAAAACAAAACAAAAACCACATATATGTTTAGTTCACTTCCTTCACTTCCCTGCTTATAAGCAAGACAACACTTGGCTATGCAAGAGATGCCTCAAGAACTCCATTTTCAAAATTATTACTAAAATACTAGACAACATAATCGTGTCTTACATACCTGAGGATTTTACAAATCCCATCTGAATGAGTTCTGCAGTTCAGGAAGACAAAGTCTTACAAGACTAAGGAAAACATATCAAAAAAGCACCTTTCCACAAATGCTACTCTTATGTTCCAGAAGGGAAGATGACCTGCAGCCTTGTAACAAGGGACATAGTGATCTCTATGGCAGCCTTGGCCTCATCTTCTAGGACTGAAATCATCTTTAGTGAAACTTTCTGGTAAGAAGCTTTTGCCTGTTCAACAGGCAGAGGGAGCACTGTATTTCCTGCACCTATGTGAAAACCTCTGAAAGTTCATGGAAACATGCTCCTAATATCAGTGAAGGAAGAGAGTAACTGTAACCAACAGCAACAGGTAAAAAAAAAAAATATATATATACATATATATATACACACAAATATGCTGCATTGCCCGAAAGACATTTTGGCATGTTTCATAGTCTCCTCAGATTGTCTCATAGAAGCAGCGTATGAACTCAGTTAATAGCACCTTCATATTAACTAAAAATGACTTACTGCAATTGCATGAAAGGAAGTGAGCAAACACTGTTCTTAGGAGTGATTTCTATTCCTCCCAGTCTCAAACGACTTGAAAGTACGGTGACACTTGATGTCAGAAAATTATGGAACTCAAGAGAGAATAAGTAAGTGAGAACAATTTACCTGCATCTACTCTTATAGGCTATGAAATATTTTACTGTTTTCTCACAGTGCTAAGTCATACGACCCCAGAGACACAAGTGTCAGGTGTTTAATCTCTGGGTTTTTATTTCTGCCCCCATGTCTACTTGCTCTTTCTAACACTTGTCATTATTTCAACTATTAAAGGAAATCAACAAAGATACAGCTTTATAAAGAACTGAATACTAGCTATTTTCTGTGTTTCTTACTGTCAGAGGACAACAAAAAGCATTGAAACAAACTCTCACTCACTTAACATGGATACTCTCAGAGCTCACTGTAACAAGCAGTATAACAAAATCAGGGAGCCAATCCACACTTACTTGCCAGGCTGCAACTGAAGAACTGGTCATGACTGTTTTGTGAAGCTCCTCCAGGATGGTATCTGGAAGCTCTTTGTGAGACTGCAACAGCTGCTTACACTGAACTTGTCTCAAAAGCAAAAACAGAGCCGGGTGCTCAGGACAGCTCTTTAAACCCTAAAACCAGATGAAAGCAGAATGATCATTTAAAAATATCAGAAGATACTTTCTTTTTTGCCATTTGAGCCTTTACAAAAAAGAGCATTGAAAACATTCTCAAGATCCTTGCAACATGGCATTTTCCCCTACTCTGCAGAAAGAAGTGTTCCAGGAATTGACACATGGGAATAGAAACTTTTTTTCCTCTTACCCTTAAAATACATATGAAATCATTCCTAAATTTTGCATCCGTCTTACCATTAGAGGTTTCTGAAAGATAGATAAGTGGCAGACCTCTAGGCTCCAGTTTGGCTTGACAATCACTAGAAGTTTTGGGCTGATGGGGGAAAAAGTCTATCCCACAACTGAAGTGACCTCAAGAATGTTCAGTTTTTTGTTTAGTTTAGATTCTCTCAGATAGGGTTCTTTATTCTCATTGGAACAGAAGCACTTTACTAAACATTTCCTGCCTTAACAAGCTGGATCTTAGAAGAACACCCAGATTGCAGAGACTTTATGAAACAAAATAAAAGCTGTTAGTATTTGCTTCAATTTTTCTACCCAACAGCAAGTGTGGAATTAAGTTGCTTGTCTCAAATTCAGAGTGCAGTGCCTGACTTGTCATTCCCCGTTATATCACCTTCTGGAAATCCTAAGATCCAAAATGCTCAGTGAGAGCTAATGATACCAGAGAGTCTTTGGTTTCTACAGAAACTGCAGGCACTGACTCTCTTTTTCCTAAATTATTTAACTAACAAAAATAAGCAAAAATCACCATAATCTCTTCCTACTCCTTCCCCAGATACCACGTTGTATTTGTAGCAATATCCGACCCTTTTTTAATATTAGCAAGGTCCGTAGACATGATATCCAGAAGAGGAAAACACCACCACCCCAAGCACATTTAGGGGAAAATACTTTCCTGTCTCTTAAAAATATCAGCATGTTCACTGAATCTCATTTTTAGGAACTAATTCCCTTCCCCACCAGTATAGAAGTGCTATAAGCAAGGAAGACATCTGCAAAGGATTAGCCACTTTCCTAAGTGAAAGTCAAGCACGTCTGCTGCTGAGTCCAATTACTATTTTGTTAATCTTTTGCAAACTTCTTATATACACACTTGAAGGCTGTTAACACAACAGTCCCCTTCTCCAGTTGTGTTGCCTCAAGATTTTTCCTTTTAATAATTAAACTTGCAGCATCCACTTGTGGATCTGAAATTGACTACCAATGTAACTTAACCATGGATCAGAAGACAGTTAAGTCCCCTGAAAGTCTCCTGAGTGGATTTCTTGTCTTTTATCTCTCTAATGCTTTGCTTAACTCGAAGTTAATATTTAAGGGCAGAACAAGTTTCATCGCCCAATACATTCATCATGCAATGATTTCTATACACCTCTTTTCACATTCTGACAGTATGCTGCTGTCGTACCTTGTTACAAAGTGCTTCAGCTTCTGAGATTCTACCAGTCTCCTCTAAACTGGTGATAGCTTGACATAGAGACCAATCTTCAAGAGTCTGGATATAATTACGTGGAAGGTTACTTTCTCCAGCTGCAAAAGCACATAGAACACTAAACTGAGTTACTGTACACTCTGTAGTGCCCTACCACGTCACATGTAAGGGAGAATGACCTAGTAAGGGAGAATTTCTAGGAGTATTGGACTGACATCGCTTCCTTCATTCGTGAGAGTATTAAGAGATGATATGATTGAAAACAAGAGGATAGAACAACAAATTCACCCTTTGAGTTAAAGGTTTGAAAATAATTGATTTAATTCCAGTTTTCAAAACACTATGGATATTAAGCAAGGCAGGCCTATTAATTGAGGTTATCACTCTGCTGGAAAAGTTACAGAGCTCATTGAATACTTCAGCCTTTTCTTGTGAACAGTGTCCCTTTGCTCATCTCAGAGTTCAGAAGTACTATTTAAAAAAATAAAATAAAATTTGAGGCTCTGGATGAAAATGCAAGCTACAATTAATTAATTAACACTAGCTCTACATTAGGATTTAGTATTTTTATAGGAAAAAATACAGCTGCAACTTAAATTACTACTAAGCAATTCATATCGTGTATGCACACTTCTGAAATTCAGGATAGTATTGCAAGGTTAGAACACTTCAATTATATTTATTTTTTCTTTTTTTTTTTTTTTTAATAAAAAGTTTTGTATCTTACTTTTGGCTGAAATTGTAGATACCAGTGTCATCTCTAGACCTGTTCGCTTTGGCTGAGTGTTGTTTAGACAGACAACAGTGTTCTCAGTGTGACAGGCTGCCATTAGCACTGCCCATGCAGCGGGGTTATCTAGGAGAAAACAATGGTTAAAGGCAACTCGTGCCCATTCTAAATAGTCCAGTAGTTCATTTAGAATGATTAAGCATAAAAACATAGCCATCAATGGAACCACATACAGTAAATAAAGGTAAGGAGAACAAGGCAAGCAATCCAATCAGACACACATCAGCTTAGCCCAAGGCAGTAGACAAGTATTTGCATCTAACAAGTAAGCTTTTACAAATCTTAAGGCAAAAATGCCATTTCTAAAGCCAACAAACGTATTTTTCATATGGACACTAGTGTGTTTAATTCCAGTGACACACACTAACCTTGACTATCGTTTAGTGCCACATAAGAGAGACAGAATAAATCTCACGATGTCATCCGCAGCTTCCATTCACACAGACTCATTCTAGTTCAACCACCAGCATGCAAGTTATGGTGATCACAGATAGATGCCTACTTCTACTGTCAGTTAAAACAAGCTCAGCACTAGCTTGAATTAGCCCAGTCAAGAACACCTATAACTCTAAGAGTCTGGTCTCTGTCCAGATTTACACTTTATACATTTAATGAAGATCACCATTTAGAAATAGGTGAACAGCTGCCTACAGTTTATAACCAGCATACTGTAATAGAAAATTTCGGATTCTAATTCTCAAGACAGATGAGTAAGTCTCCTCTGCTTGGTGTGGCATACTGCCCCGAGGGAACAAGTATTTTACTTTTTTCTTACATACAAAATAATACTTATCTCTTCTCCTGCTGAGGAAGTAACAAATTGCTCATGTTTTCAGAACAGGCCATGAAACTCAGGGATTTTTTCCCCATCTGGTTGAATTCACCAAGCCTGAACTTACAATGACAGCTAAAATTTCCATTCAAGGTGTTCTCCCCAAAACACAGACAGGCAAAACAAAATAACAGAATGACCCAAGAAAAGCAAATACTTTGTTAGCACAACAATTTTGTTTCTGATTAGTACAAAAATCACTAGCACATTTGAGAACACAGTCACCTGGACAGAGGTGGATTGCCTTCTGAATACTCTTCAGAGGATTTTCGTTCTGATCTTTTAACATGTGATATCCTGCTGCCAACTGATTCACTGCAACATTTAGTAGGGCTTCCTACAAAATACAACATAAGAGTGACTTAACACTACATGTAAGTGATCAGATGGACTTCATTTTAGGATTGTTTAATGGAATTATAAAGTCTGCATTTTAGGGGAGACGAACCTTTCCATATCTTGAATCAAGTGCATGTGCAATGTTTCCTGCCATGGCTCCACCCTGCAACATAAAAAGGAAAAAAAAAAGAAAAACAACAAGGTTATATGATTAAGAAACATTACAAAATCTGTGAGGCAAGATCTTTTTGTCTGTATTGATCAGAAATATAAAGTTTGCACAATGAAATATTTTCCTTTCCTACAGACAAATCTCTTCATAGAGAATTATGAAGAGATATTCAAGATCAGAACTTATCCACACCTTGTGTTTGTAAATTAAAGTTTCATAGAGACAGGAATTTGTTTCAGGTGCTATTTCTATTTACAGAATCACAGAATTTCTAGGTTGGAAGAGACCTCAAGATCCATCGAGTCCAACCTCTGACCTAACACTAACAGTCCCCACTAAACCAAATCCCTAAGCTCTACATCTAAATGTCTTTTAGATATTTGACATACATTAAGGGAATGAGTGTTTATTTGGAGAAGAGCTACCAGTAAGTACAAAAGCAACAAAGAAATACTGGGTAATTAAATAAGTAAAGTTGAGTACAGTAACAAAATTCAACATATATAAAACCTTTTAAAAAAATGTATATTATATACAAACATAAAAAATCCTTTTATATAAATTACATACATTTAGTACAATCTTCTTGATGAAATACTTATGGTAGATTTAGTCTATTTCAAGAAGATAAAGGTTCACCACGCCATTAAGGACACAAATAATTGGATAAGTAATTTGTTCAGCATGTACCTGTGCACTGCTCAAAATGTATTTATATTTAAAGTTTTCATGTTAACTACTGAATGCACATGTACTGAAGCATGGTGTGTTTACGCTTTTTTCTTCAGATACGAAACAACACATAGTACACCCAGGTTATAAACAGTACAGACTTATTACAGCAATGCACTTACTTCTGTCTTCTGTAATGCATACAGTGGAACTAGCCGAGACAAAAGAGACCAAAGAGCGGGATTATCAGGGTTACTGGGAAAAAAACAAAAAACAAAAAACAAGCATATTAGATTTTCTGGTTTAGAAATGAATCCAGTCTTCTGTGACTTTGTAGGCAGCTGCTGTAAATACCAAACAGATCTTTTGTTTTTAGAAAGAAGTTCAGTTGTTGCAGAAGTGCAGTTGTAAATAGATGTGTCTAGTAATTTAAAACAAACAAATAACTCTTGTATTATACTACTGGCTAAAGAAAAAAGCATATAATATGCAAATTGATATTCATGGGAAGAAAATGGATAAACTCAAAGACTACAGGTTTGGTTCTTCTAGTCTGAGGAACAAGGAATTTTAACTGTAGTTTTGGGGAAAAACATTGTTTGAAGCATAGCTTATGAAATCACCTTGAAGAGTTTAAGGTGTGGCTTGTTTAAAGGCAATAATTAAAATTTCCCCTTCCCATAATGCCTACGTTACTTAAAACACTTTTAAACTCAGACTTCTATTTAAGGGAATGAACTGCTTCAACTGCTGCTGTTAAATATTAAATAAAAGCCCTAAAGATTTTCTTAGTTGAAAGACCTGGTAATCAAAATGAAGAATACTTTTATAGCATAGTGAACTGCTCTGACTACCAAAGAAGCCACCAAAACAAAAACAGAAAAAAACCAAACACATACAAGCCATGAAATTTTTGCCACTTGATACTTTAAGTAAGACAGAATAAAGCAAACTTCTGTCTGCTGATTCTACGATCTTAAATGAGCCACTTTCATGCCACTTTCTTGTTTGAAAAACTTTCTTTTTTTAAGAGAAGAATGTTGCAAATAAGTTTTGCTTACTTATCAGTATCAATAAAGCAACACATTTACAAGGCAATCTAAATATTAACAAAATACATACCTATGTATTGCTTTTGAGACTTCTCTCTGGACTGCCATGTTTCTACCTTGTAATGCATAAACAGCAGATGCAATAAGGCACCTTTCATAAATCCCATCTTTTCCTTTCTCGTGCTTCAGTAATTCTTTTAAGGCTGCTGTCGCAAGTGTAACATCCTGCTTTACCAGTCCTAGTGTGCACAAAGCCTTTAGACTTTCTGTACTAGGTTCCTTTAATGAGCTGTTGAATCAGAGGGAGAGGAGACATTATTTTGGAGCAGAAATTAAATTTACCATCAATGCTACAGTACTTGATGCTTTTTAGTCCTCTTGCTCCCATGCATCACCTACGATATGCTGAATTAACACTAAGAGATGCTGGAACAAGCTAGACCAGTAAATTTGAGATATCAAGATACAGAAAGTGGTTGTGTTCTATTTCAGGTAGTGTGCTACACTCAGTAGTTATTAGTTATAACTACTTGGCAAGGCTCCACCACATTAGGTACCCATTAGTAGCACCCATAAAAGGAATGGCAAAAGAATGTCTAACACTGAAACCTATTTACTTTTCCTGAAGACACCTGTACTTCTAACTCATGTCATAAGTGAGTTGCAGTGTGCCTATTTCCAACTTTGCAACAGAAATGCAGGAAGGAAAAAGACAGAAATGAGCCTGCTGCATAGAACTGGTCTTTCAATTTGGCTGTTCTGAGAAATTAAAGCTTGTTTACATCAAGATTTCTTCCAACTTAGTTTACTTGAAGCATGCTCTTTCTACCATGAATTAGTTTTAGTATCAGTACTAAGTTATGCTATTCTGTTCATTACGAGAAAGAGTTTAACCTCATCTCAACAGTACTCCCAGCTTTATTGGAGACCTACTAGCCACAGTGAATGACTTTTTTTCTGCAAATTATATAGAACAGGTGGAGAACTCTCAATTCAAATTAATCCCCAGAACTTTGACTTTGCATAATACACACAGCTCATTACAAACAACCAAAATCAAATACGTTAAGTGATGTACTAATTGAAGCTATTCTTACAAGAAAAGCAATTCAATAAATGACCATACAAAATAAAAGGAGGCAAAAAAAAAAGACCAGAATAGGGCATGGCAACAGAAATTTGGAGTTACTTAATTGTCATGTCCTATACACAACTGCAGAATGAAATGCTGCCTACCTTCACTTATCAGGTGACCACAATAAGGTTCTTAATCAAGCTTTTTTGGAATAATTTTTATAAATAATAATCTTTAGATAAATAATCTTTAACTATTAACTAATCTTACATAATTTCTGCATTTGAAAGAAATACAAGAATGCAAACATCCTGTTCTATATTTCGTTTTCAGTTCCTGGCAAAAAAGAAATTCCACCAGCTGTTACATGCAACCTTGAATAGGCAACACCGAGCACGTCAGCTGGTGGAAGGGCACAGCTCTCCCATGAGTAAGAAGAGTTACTCTATCGCACTAGCTACAGACATACTCACTACCAAAATCTCTGTGCTAAACTTACAAAGAAAGAAGAAAAAGGAATCTTCTTGCTCAGTGACCTACCTAGGCCCTTCAAGTTCCCCTGCACAAATTCCTACTAACAAAGACCTATGATTAGAATGTACAGGCCTCTTTTCTTCTAATTAAAACTCACTGTATAAACTTGCAACATTGTGCTTCAGATTTAGATCTGAACATATTCACTGTAGTGTTACTTTTCTAAAGTATTTTCTACTTTTTTATTATTATTTTAAACACAAATGACTACCACCATATAGGAAATTCTCACTGTTGTTGTTAAGGACAAAAATAGAACTCTGCAGTGATTAATAGGATGTACCAGCTCCCCAGCTAATTAGTTTGCTAACTCATCAGTTACTCAGGCTTCAGCGTAGTCATGAATCTTCACTATTTCAGTAACTTCACGAGTCTTCTGGCAAGATGGGGACTGTACAGCCATTACTGAAATTCTCTGTTGACCGAGTTGATCCTGAGGCCCCCAACAAAAGTGACTTTTCAGTTTTAGAAGTACAATAAAGCGTCATATACTGATTGTTATTCCCTCCATTCACCATTTAAACAGTAGTGTCTTTGCAGCATCCACTTTGTTCTGCTTATACTCTATTATTGCCAAGGCAGTCAGGATATGTGCTTTATCTTGTTCAGACTCGGCAACGGACAGGGCTTTCTCATAGGCTGTTAAAAAAAAAAAAAAAGACTTAGTATTGAAGAAGGGAAGGAAATACATTGCTCATAAAGCCTCTGGAAAGGCATAATATTAATACATACACACACAAACAAGGCACTTTGGTATCAGGTTCACTACATTTTCATGCCTCACATCATACTGCAGAACACACAACTAAGACATTATAAAGCAAATGTAGGTTGGAAAATGCCAGGGTTATTTACAGCCTGTTTAATATGTAGCAAATGGAAATAAATCTGAGAAGTAGTGCAGGGATATCTAGAGAAAAAGGCTTAATAAGTACAGTTTAAAGATTCTCCTATGACAGTATATTTATGAAATAGTATTTGAGATGGGCAGACAACTCCAATCAAAAACAAGAGTTCTTTACAATGCTGAGCTGGCTGCTCTACTGTGAGTGCTTACACTTCCACACTGATAATTCAGTACACCTCTTTGTGAAGTCTCACATCTCGGCAGTGTAGAACATGACAATATGGCACTTACATGTATTACTAAAGCTAAAGTGTTTTGTACACTATATTAATCTCCTACCCAGAAATGATTTTCCCAAGAAAGCCATTAGTAAGAGATAGTGAGAGAAGCTAAGAGCACAAGAGGTTAATGAACAAGAATTAAACATTATAAAAATGTAGCTTTCCTTAGTACATTTGAATAGCTCTAGCACTCAACAGCTAAATGATTAAAATAGCTACAGAATTTGTAGTTGTACATTGGGACTGAAAGAGTGAAATAATCTCAACCACAGCTAGGTTGGTTAGACGAATAAACTTTGTCATTCTAAGTGCAGTACTGTGACTTAGGCAGATGTTTACCTTTAATACTTTCTTGTAAGAGTCCTTTTTTGAAGTAGGCTAATGCTATCCCCACAATGCCATCAAAATCAGTTAGAGGTATTGATGAATAAACCTCAATGGCTTTATCACATTCACCAATGGCACTGTGGAAAAAAAACACAACTATTGTTAGTATGAAGGATGTAGCAAGAACTGTTAGAATTAAGAAAAGCTGTCCATGCAGCTGAGAATCCTGTTTTGAACAGCAGTTGTAAGCACACATCTGGAAAAGTGCAGCACTAGGACAAGAATGTGCAATATTTCTTACCCTCCTCCTGTTACAGCAGTTCCTCTTTCCAACTACCTCTTGCATGAAAAATAGTTGGTGGGGAAAATGTGCAGGATAGCTATATGTAAAGATGTAGCTTAACTGTCAGCACAATGGAATAGGGAAGGGGAGTAGGAAAATTGCAAAGGTGAAAAAACAAGAGAAAAATCAAATCAAAGCATGCACATGCACACACAGGCAAGTGTACGTACACAAACAGATATAGAATTCTTGTTCTAAGGCCACTATGGAAGAAATTATGCAGGGAGATATTATTAGAACTAGTTATTAGTTATTGAACTGTTAGTCTTGTGTAAGTTGCACACAGGAATCACCATGCATACAGTGTGGATCTGAGACTACAGAAAACTGAAGAGCTGCTTCAGAAATCTCTGAAATTTAAGAATGAATTATTACATTATCACAGCCTAGGCATTACAGTTACATGCACAGAAAATTAAGAATACATTAATGTTTCCCTATAGCACTGACAAAATCTAATAAGCAAAACTTGAGCCATCTTACATCAAAGAAGAGTTTGTAAGTCTTCATCTATTAACACTGGTGCCCTGCCTTCCATCAGAACTCAAAGCAAATCATGAGGTCTTTTCCAACCTTAGTGATTCTATGATTCCATTAAGGGAACTCAATTGCATGTAGAGTTGCAGCAGAAAGGGTCAGCAGCAGAAAGGTCACATGCATACAATATCCTAACCATGCGTGTTTAAATTCATACAAGTGAACACAAATTCAAAGGGCAGGTAGAAAGGACTTCTAATAAACCTTACAGCAGCTACCTTATTCAAACTACACATACCTGAATCCAAAGTGTGGAGATCCTAAAAACCAATTTACCCTGGAGACTGTACAGCTACACTGTTTAGACTCTATTTAAGGATCAAACTGAGTTCAAGGGAATCACTGATCTGTTATAGACTGCCAAGAGGTAGTGCAATTCCTCTAATTTGTTTTTGATATAGTACCCATTTCTGGAGAACATACAGAGTTCAGTCAGACTTGTCTACAATTAAGAATGATATTTAATAAATTATTTTCTCTGTTGACCTTTCGCCATTTGGCCTCGCACAAGTTTTTCACCACTGCATTCACTACATCCAAAGCTGAAGCTAGGGGCTGGGATAAGTATGTCAACAAACACTTACCACAGTGATCTGCCATAGTTTTGCATAGCTATATTATATTTCTCAGTATCCTCAGAGTTTTTCAGTAATGAAGCGGCCCTTAAAATAACCACAATTAAGAGTAATTATCATAGGACTATAACACAAGTATTCTGACATTAGTTTTCAGAGCAGAATGGACAAGTGTTTTACACAGAAATCTTTTTATGCATAAGCACAGAAAGCACAGAGACAATCTTACAAAGTTTAATGAATCACCAAACATGCTCTCCAAATGTGGTTTCTTTCACCACCCTCCTCTACCATTTGAAAAGAAAAAAAACCCTAACATTAATCAGTATAGAGACCAAAACAAAACAAAACAAAACAAAAAAAACAAACACAAAAAAAGAGAGATGCCATACACTGAATTAGCTAAACGTCCTAGTAAGATGCTCAGCCTTGCAATGACTTTATTTTTCCTTGTTACTTGTGTTCTACATTTCCAAACTTGATTTAAGAACATCCTCCCCTCCCCCTTGCAGTACAGTTAGTTGAAATGTACTGCTGAGTACATTGAAAATAAGGTTTACTGCAAGAAAAGAAAAGCCTTTATAGAAAAAGAGGACAAGGAGCTTCTATCAGTAAACATTCCAGTACGTATAACTCACCTCTCATAAGCATCTTTGGCCTGCCTTTTTAGATCCATATACTCACTCAAGTAACCAAGCATCGTGAAAGCAGATGCATCATCTGGATTTCTTTCTAGAAAATCAGAATTGACAATACAGGAGAATGTAATCAGAAAGAGCTGTGAAAAGTAGTAGAAAAAACACTGCTACATTGATGCTACAGTACACACACACACACACATATATAAAGCACTTTGCCAAGTGCTTCTGTCAGTTGCTCACTGGAATTATTTGACAGGCTGCAAACAAATAAAGAAGAGATACTAAGACCACAACATGACATCAGGCTAGCTCGAAAGTGTTTCAACTCTTATGACACGGTATTGATGCATCCAATATATTTTATTTTGTTAAGCTCACTGTGTTTCAGCTCACTGTGGTTTGTGGTGTCTTTTTTTTTTGGTAATGAAATATTAAATTACTCAGCTTGTACTGACTCTAGTAAGATACTAGCAGAACCTTACGGTTTATTTCTTTTCACTACTACAACATTGAAAGGCTTGTCAATAGCTACAGTTGTCATCTCAGTTCTAACAGTTTTTCCTAGACCAGAAAGGGGAACATAGGCCTTTCTTGAAATCTGCTTAGGGATTTTACAAATGCCTCCTCACACTTACTTCATTTTAAGTGCTTGTAACTTAGTTTGTAGCTCTAAAAATACCAGCAATGGACATATTTAGTCCAAGGATATATTTACAGTAAGAAAATCCACACTTGCTCCATCCACCTTCTGGGCTAAATATACACAAGCTTACCACAACATGGAGGCCATGCTGTCTTGAAACCATGCCCAAGAAAGTCTTCTGTCTCTTACTGAAGCTTAACACTATTGTGTGCTTCAGGTTATGAAGTTTTACAGCATCCACAAACAGCCTAACATCTAGCACACGGGCAAAAAAGCTAGCACCTATCTGCACAGACATAGAGATATACTCAAGTGAAGTCAGATACCAGACACCTGATGGCAAGTATAACAAGGCTCTGGTCCTCACTGTGCTCAGTTTCTGAAACGAAGTCTGGTGGAATGATAGAACTCATACCTATTTTGTTCCGGTGCATTAATAAAAAATCAGTAACCAATTAACCTCATTTTGTCTGCTTAATTTACAACATAAAAGCTTAGTCCAGCTGAATCACTCTGTGCCAGACCTTATACAGAAGTAGACATTTAACACATCTCTTAGTCAGGCTTGGCAATTCAGAGAGGTATCTACGTTACCTACCTGTATATTTGGTCATTACCACCTGAGCTGCTGGAATAGCATTCATTTGAACAATGTTGTACTGATACACCTCAGTATTTCTGTTGCTTTTATCCTGCAGTGTTGAACAAACCCAGTGGGCATAGCCTTTTGCTCCCTCAGTCTCAGGAAATAAAAAACACACAAATTGAGAGTCATTAAACCTGCTCTAGTAACACTGAAATGCTTAAAGATCATAGTAATTCTTTGTTTTAACACAATGTTGGCTAAAAGGCTACATAACTGTTAAGCAGTACAATAAAACACTGAACTGGATTGCTGCAAACAAAAATTGTCCTTTGGGCAAAAAGAACTCTCATATTTACGTATCACTCATGACACACTGGAGAGATGACAAATAAGAAAAGTTTAAGACAATGTAAAGTCCTACACTTTCTTAGGACCCTGGCAGTATCCCAGGTCTTTCTGGCAGTATCTGCCGGTATACTGGCAGTATTCTTTCCTGTTTTTGTCTCCAATTTATGCCTTTGATCTCTGTCCAGTTCTGTGGAACATCAAGAAATTTTTTTTCACAACTTATGGAGCAGAGTTCTTGGACCACTGGGACTAAAGCACTTAACAAAATAACTGCTTGCCATTTAGTGCCAGCACAGGCCAGGAACACCAACATGGAATTCAGACAATCCCATTTGGAACAAGACTCTAGTTGTCCCATCATTAAAGAAACCTATTTAAAAAAAAAAATACATCACCTAACTAGACATAAGATTAGACATAAAGAATCTTCAGTACAATATAACTGTTACACTTACATGCATACTAAGTTCAGTTGTATGCCTGAAGAGATCCATAGTATCATAGCTGCCAACTTTTTCCGCAACAAGAGCCTACAGAGAAGCAAAGGTTCCTCTGGTCAGGTACTTAAAAAACGATGACATTGACAAGAGCCTCGGTACACATTACTTCTTGCACATCTTAGGTAATTAACATGAAAATAATTTATATTCTCATGCTCTTGAAGAAATTCTACACTGCTCTCTTGAGACTCCACCTGAAATACTGTATCCAGCTCTAGGGCCCCAGGATAAGGACGTATACCTGTTAAAGAGGGCCCAGAGGAGGTCACAACAATGACCAAAGGGCTGGAGCAACTCTCCTACGAAGAGAAACTGAGAGAGTAGGGGTTGTTCAGCCTGGAGAAAAGAAGGCTCCAGGGAGAGCTTACAGCAGCCTGACAGTACCTAAATGGGTCTACAGAAAAGCTGTGGAGGGTCTCTGTAAGGGGGTGTAGGGACAAGACAAAGGGTTATGGCATTAATCTAAAAGAGGGTAGATTTAAATTAGATGTAAGGAAGAAATTCTTTAATAGAGACTGGTGATGCAGTGGACTGGGTTTCCCAGAGAAGCTGCTGATGCACCATCCTTGGAAGGTTTTAAGGCCAGGTTCGATGGGGCTCTGGGAAACCTGGTCTAGTGAGAAGTGTCCCTGACCACAGCAGGGAGTTGGAACTAAATGAGCTTCCCTTGGAAGGTTGGAAGCTTCCCTTCCAACCCAAACCACTCTCTAATTCTAAGAATAAAATGAACACTACTAAGAGGGCATAAGTACCGCATCAGCACTTCACACTTAAGGTGTTGGGGAGCTACGTTACATTTTTCAAGACAGAGACTTCTTGTGCATGTTAGTTCCACTTATAACAACGTATGACGGGAGCTGAATTTTGACATGATGTCAGTAGTCCTTCCTTAGAATCCGGTTTCAGTTAGATATTATTAGCAGGTCAACAGCATGGGATTATTGAGTGCACCTACGGCAATCACAAATGAGTCATGAGTACTTCTACTATTCACAGATGGCCTAGATACCAGTGGGAGCACATCCAATCCACAGTGGTAGGTGGAGGAAGGCACCTCCCAGGATGTAAGAGCTGCTTTTGCACCAGGTATATTAGAGACTTACTGTTTTTAACAGCGAAGATAGAAAGGGGGACACTGAGAAGTGTGCTAAACAGTGCCATTAAATGAAATAGTCATACAGAAGAAGACAAAATAGCTAGCATCTTACGAAGATGGTACTTTGTTAAGAACACTTAATAATAAGCTTCAGAGCACAAAAGTGATTTTTTTAATAGATAATTTCTTATACAACTCACAATTACATTAGCCACAAAAAACATTTATATAAAGATACATGATTAATGTAGCTTCCATTATATACCAATACAGAAGCAAAGGGTCCCATCCACCCCCAGGGGAAGCAGCCGCTCCCTCTACTTAAAATCCTATGAGAACATGCTTAAGGGCCAATTCTTAGGACAGAGTGTAAAACTTCTCTTGCACTAACAAATGGATTTGGCGCACAGTTAAGATTTTTTCACATCTTACCTGTCCAACCCAGCACAGTAGGTAAGTGGGCTCCAGAGACTGGGCTATCTTGAAGGCTTCATGAGCTTGCTGCAGAACCAAAGATAATGATGCTGTTCAACTGTCTGGCATGGTAACAGATCACTTTTGAGTATTCATAGCTAACATGCAGTAGTATTAGAAGAGATTTTCATGAATGAAATTAGGTCACTACTAAAGAATATCTACTGTGCTTTACAGAACAACATATCACCCACAGAAATAAATCAGTTTATCTTCTCAAAAGAAAAACATAAAATTAAAAATATTTAGAAAATCAAAGTTCCTCTCCCTTCCAAATACAACTCCTCCTCCTTGTTCTGAGGAAGAAGCTAGATTAACTGTTGGAACAATTAATATTTTAAAATCAGCCTAGGATCCAGATTTCAAAATTTGCATTTCTTTCATGTAAACAGTTTGACACATTCTGAAAATTGTTAAACTGATTACCATCCACAAGTCATAATTTTCCCTCAAGGCTGCACATGTTCATTGTTCTTCCCTTAATGTGGCACAAGGTGAACAAAGTCCTAGCCTGAGATGTCTTAGAAGTAGTTTTTACTATTAAATTATTTTTACTAAAAATAAAGCTTGACCATCACATTACAGAAATTAAATAAAATTGCTGAAATTCTTACCAGTAAATAGGATATTATGTAGTTTTAGGTACACGAAAACCCTGGACTTCACTTAACAGGTATTCCAATTTTTATTCAGAGAAGCTCTAAAGGTTATACAGAACTATGGCAAGTCATGTGCCATACTAATGAGCAGAAAGTAGCTACCTACAGGAAAATCAGAAACTCAAAGTTTCAGTTTGTGACTAAAAGAGTTCCCAGTCAACTTGTTGTGAGTTGGTTTGATTTAGTCCTTCTCAGTCCTTCTGAACAGTTGCTATTCCACTTAGTCATTTGGAGAGAAACTTCAGCAATTTAGAGCAAGTTCACTTAACTACATCCACTCCAGAACAAATACTTAATTTGCGTGACTCAAGAAAAATGCTGATTTTATTTCATTCAATTCAAGTATGTTTTTTGAATTTGAGAGGTACACTCTCCACTTTTAGCCCACGCTCTCACCCTACTATATTCCCCTAAAAAAAAAAAAGTGGAAAGGGAAACCATATTTGAGAAATGGGAAAAAAAGTTACCTCAATGTTTCCAGTTGCTAGATACAAAACCCCCAAGTTAGTCCAGGCGACAACATTCTAGGGAGAACAAATACAAGTTAAAACCAATGTGTTCTTGCTGTATTCTAAAAAAACCAAATGACACAGCATCAGGGGAAGAAAAGTTTCAAATGCCCACTTGAAACAGATGGCAGCTGCCTACAGCACTTACGATTTGCTCAGCTTGAACAGATTTGATGAACGAATGTTGAGCAAGAGCATAATTCCCAATAGCTGGAGGAAAAAAAAAGGAAAGCTAGATCTAACTGAATTTCATAAACACCATTAGTTAAGTTGCCTTCTAATTTAGAATATTATGCAGCTAGGGGTCTCACTGAAGACTTACCACTACAGGAAGCAACTACACCAAGTGCATTCCAATAAAGATGATTTTTGCTGTCAAGCCTCACAGCTTTTTTGATACACTGAAAGAAAATCAAATGTGAATTGAACTACTAGATTATCATAAAATAAGATTTTATGCACAAAGTTATCCAGAGGGTTAGGTCTTATTGAGGACAGAGAGGTTAGGCAGAGAAACACCAAAGTTGATTTAAACTTTAAAGAATGCAACAGAAAAACAGGCAGTACCTGTAAAGATTTCTCTAGCAGTTCACTGATCTCATTCATGTCAGCATCCACTGCTGTGAGGTGCTCTGCTTGTCGATAATAATTTATTCCAAGATCACACCATATGTTAGGCAAAGTCATCAATTTTAAAGCTCTGCCGTAACACCTACAGAAACATGAATCACACACACGTATTATTCTGAGCCTCCCTAACATGAAGAACAGAAAGCTGAAAAACACTCGAGTGCTTAAAAACCCAAACCAAACAAATATGCATAAATACAAACAAAACCAGACAAGAATGGAAATCCTATGACAACTAATTTTAATTCAGACAGCTATCTTCACAGAATCCATCCTGATCTGTATTACCCCACCACTTGTGAAATTATAGATGTGCAATACATCAAAGTTATGTCAGCTGCAATATGCATATTTTTAATTAAAACAAACATCAACCATTTTCAGAGTTAATCAGACTTTCCCTTGGAAGTATTTTGACTACACATATCACTGTTGAGATCTTCAAAGGAGGTACATTGCCAGCCTGTCTTAACTAACACATCCAGCTGCACAAAGCTCATAAGGAGCCACAGGAGAGGCTACAAGAAAACAACTATAAGTACTTCTATTATCTCTAGCTCTATTATTGTGAGTTTCCAGGGACAGGCACAAGGAATTCCGTCTTGCAATGAAATTTAGATCCCATAACTAGGGCTCAAATTGATAACAGTTTTGTATGAAATAAACACAGACATAAAGCTTACAGTATTATCTTGGACTTTAATAATCCTGGGAGAATGGGCTAACTACTACTGCAACCATTCCATTTAGAGTAGCACAATTTGTTGAATGACAGACATGATATAGCCGTGCTCTGGAGACAGAACCAAGAAGAGCAGGTCCTAAATGAAGTGTTGAGAGCCACTGCAGCAATCCAGGGATCATACCTTTAAATGAGTGGTATAGTTTGAAAGAAGCATGAGGCCCTCTTTACCTCCTCATTAATCTTCATTAAATATCCAGGTGATAAAGATCAGCATTTGTTTCATTTTCTAGGAATAATATAGTCTAGAACATTTGAGACTCTATACTGTGCACAGATATGTAGAAGAACTTGACAGTAAAAAAAAAATATATATTATTACCTTCCTCCCAGTCTGAGCAGCTCAATTTTCTTCAGCATCTGTTTGCCTTCATTTTTACCCAGAAGCAATCCTAGAACTTGAATATTCACTCTGGCTGGTGAAATAACATGCACAGTAGTACAGGTATCTCCAAGCAGTTTCCAAAGGGATGATACATCAGGACGGTGCTTTGTTGCCCTGTAAATTGGTATTTAAGAAAACCCACAAAATATCTGTTCAGACACTGCAATGCTCTTTCCTGAAAGAAAGTTCACCACTTTGAATAGTGGCACGAACTCTAATTAATTGATGGGCTGCTTGTTTTTTTTTTTTATTATTATTATTCTGTTTTCTTGCTACTAAATCTGTATTTTTAAAAACTTAAAAGTAATCATAAAAAGAGAAACTACAAAATGCTAACGTATTGCAATTTTGTGGAGACGAAGAGTCTGTTCTGAAAATGACCTGTTATCTATCAAAACATCAACTGTCAACACTAACTTTTGTGTTTCAGAACAGTATCATTTATATTGCAAGACATGAGACACCTGCAGAAACCTAGCAGACCTTCTCCTATACGAACAGTTATCCCAGGGTTCAGTTTAGGCCACTAAAGCATTCTGTCTGATAAGCAAAACAGTAAGATTGAGGAAGGTAAGCTACAATAGCCTCTCATCCACCATTTTTGGGAGAAGTTTCCTTCCTTCTACCCATATACACAGGATGAGAGCTGAAATGAACTGTGTGCGACTTCACACTTGTGTTATAATCAAAAGACTCTGTGTCTTTAAACACAAAAAAGAAAACTCTCATTACCATTCGCTCTAGCAGCCTAAGTCCACAATGCATTATTCAAACCATTTTCACTAAACACTTCTACATTAGAAGCCCACTCCATTTGATTTAGTGTAACTGAAACTCCTCAAACACTTAACTCTTCTTCTTCAAACCACAAGCCCAGTGGAAATGAAACAACAGAATGTTTAGTACTAACCTTGTAAAAAATTCAAGAGCCTGCTCTATGTATTCCACAGCCTTCCTATCAAGATACTTATCAAGGGCTGATTTTGCCAGCATGAGATAGCACTCACCAAGTCCTGAAAGAAAGACAAAATATCCTCTATGAAAACAGATGCTTCCATGTTACTACTTGATGAAGGAGGTGGGGTTGTATGAAGAAAGACTGCTCCATGTTATGCTTTATGCCCTACATATACTATGCCTGACCAAAAAAATCCACAACCAAACTCACTCTGTGGCTCACAAGAGAGACTTTGCTTTTACCCCTTCCCCAGTAGCATGAACTGTAGAATAATCTGAATATTAAAATAAATTTTTGTAATTATAAAAAATATAGTATCGAAACTTTGGGTTTGTTTTCAAGAATTAACTACAGCACTCATGTGAGAGGTGCTATGCACTGGTAAGTCTGACAAATACAGCCATATTCAGTTCACACTTCAGTCAAAAACATTATCAAATCACTGCCAAATACAAAAAGAAGAAATAATATCAAGGTAATAAAAGTGGGAAGTTTTTTTAGAACTACCTGAAACCACAACTATTTAATCCTATTTAAGAATTTACTTCATATGGAAATAAATGCAATTAAAGAAACCACATCTAATACCACTATTTGTATTATTTCAGAAACAGCAAGATACTGCCTCTTTACACTGCTGGTATCTGTAGTGATTCTGTCTGGCAATAAGTCACTGGATTTGAGCCTCGTTAATTCTCAGCATTTTCTTCACAGTTCTGAATCTACATTCCTCATGCTTTAGTCCTCTCTATTTATATCAAACTAATAATCAAAGTAGGTACCATCTTTCTTTGCAGATTTTGGCAAACAATTAACATCAATAACATCGTGACAAACGCAGACCATATGAACTAGATGCAGCTCTGTGAGACTCTTATCATGCCCTCACTAGGTGTTTGTATTGACCACACAGAAGTCCCAAGGACATAAGCTCTTCAGATGTCAAGAAGCTCCAATCTAAAAGCAAAATTGATTTATAAAACTGATTCTATTCCCTGAAGTTATAAGTGAAGAGAAATGCTGGAGCAGAGGTGAACAAACTTATTATTCAACAACACAAATAAAAAGTGCACAGAAAAGACACATTCAAGCAACATCAGTATGTTCTCTCATCTGCCTTAAGACTACACTTCTAACAGCTCATTTCAGAAACTGTTTCTTTTTTGATCAAAACTGTATGACAAGTACACTTGTGTATATTTTGTATATCAGCTTACACTCATCCAAACGTCAAAGGCCTTCTACAGAAGGAACGCAACATAAAAATTCATACCAGAACCAAGCAGCAAAAAACTTGATTTCAGATGGATGTATAGGGTGAGAATGCCTGAAGACTAAGAGGCACTGAGAACGTGAACAAAACAGTTATTAGTTGGCTATCAAAATGTTATATACTCCCTATGTTACATAAACTGAGACCAACAGTTCACTTTCACTATCACCAGGATTCCGTGCTTGACCACTCTAGCCTGTTCCCAGATACATACTAAAGTAACCTACCAACTGCCACATCTAACATTTGCGAGACCTCTCTGGATACCTCACTACTATTTTTAGTCAGTTGAAGAAGCTCACAGGGATCGGAATCACCAGGGGTAACAGAAAAGGTGAGAAAAAAAAGTCAGGAAGAGCAGCAGCAGAAAATAAATATAGCCCACCTTTTTGACACAGAAGCCCAACTCCACTGCCTGTTCAGCCATACACAGTATTTGACTGCTTAGGTGAAGCTGAGCATCATCAGCTGGCATCCACTACATAAATTTTCAATGCCTCTACCCATTTGGCTTGGTAGTTACGTAGGAATAGTTACCTTTTTTACTTACTTGCAACAGTAATAATCATTTCTGTGCATCATGGTTTAACAGTCTTCATATGTTTACAAGCTATTATACTCTTTCTTTCATACATGTGAATCACAGCATTCTACACCAGCAAAACTGTCCTTTACGTAGGCAGACCTAACTACATCAGAGCCTCTTCATGAAACTCAAGATAGAAGGAGAAAGACCTAAAATTTTCAGATTCAGATACACTACCTTTCAACGCAGGCACATACTCTTCTGTCTTCTTCAAGATTTCTTGATAGGTAACTATAGCATTTTCATATTTGCCTAGCATCTGCTCAACTGCAGCAGCTCTGTATATGCTGTATACAAGCTCTGGGTTCAGTTCACTGGCCTTCCTGAAGGCTTTTAGAGCTGTTGCATAGCTACCTCTGCCAAAGTAAGCCTCCCCTAGAGACTCCCAGCAGTTGGAATCCTTTGGATCAGCCCTGAGAGCTGCCTGCAAACTGAAGATATCAAAATTTAATTTATTTAAATCAAATGTGATATAAGTTAACAAAAACAAATTATTTCTTTGCATTATATACTATCAGAACACAACCACACAATTATATAGAACTTTTAGAAACTGCATAATAGTGTTGTAATCTTCATAGAACACATTATAAAAGTTTAGGCATTGTACCTAATTTTGGCTCATTATTCAGTGTTATAGTGTCTATGACAAGCCTGTCACCAGGCTTGTTAGCATGGATCACTGCTATCATGATAAAACTGCATTGTGCTAATTCCAGAACTGGAGATAGATACAGCTTGCTCAGACCCATTTCCCATTGTGTAGTACAGGCCATCTTGTGATTAGCTAACTTAATTTCAAAAATCATGAAGATCAAAGACTGTTTTACAGGGATTTACAGAAAACAGTTTAAACCAACCACGAGTTCTCTTACTCAGCCACTGCTTGTGACGGCTGACCAGTTCTGAGGTAGTAAAGTCCACGATGAAGCCAGGCCCATTTTATTGAAGCAGCGTTTGCTTTTTCAGTTACTTCATTCAAGATTGACAGGGCGGTATCCTAACAAAGCACCAAAAATGCCACATTAGTAAACAGCTGTATCTAAAGAAGAAAGTTATTGTTTAAGAAGAATACTCCCAATTCTAGCAAACCATTAAACTGTCTAACTTGTTAGTTACTGTAATGAAGAAACATTACATGGGCTTTTCAAAGCTGGCAGGCTGAGTGGCAGAGTAAAGGAGGAAATTATCACATCTGTGATAAGATGTGATTATTTCTTATGTATATGCCTTAGCAAATAGGCAACTTGATTTTTTAACTAGATAAGGTTACATGTCTTTGCAGTAAGTCAGATACTCAGTCTATTTCTCCAGATATTCCAATAGTCTGTCAAAGTGTGGGCTGCTTTCTTGCTGTAATACCAGACTAAGAACTTTTTATACAATGCTAAGTAAGAAATATTTGTTTAAAATGTTCTGATGACTTTGTGTGCTTTTTTTCTGAAAGGAGCAAGGGGGAGGATGGAGAAAGAAATGGCACAAGTTAAATATGAAGAGAAAACTCACTTTCTCTTCATGTAACCTACTGAAAAAAATCCTCCCATCTTCTGAATCACGTATGTGATGACTACAACGTTATGCTTGCTTCCCCCACCTTTCTCCCCAGATAGGTTTAAATCAGAATTGAAGCACGGAGTTGAAGCAGATCCAGCTATGAAAACTGCGAAGCAATGACAGAATATCTGTTTTCTTGAGATCTTATTCTCAAATACTGAAGAAATCTCAAGTGGTTGCTCAAAGAGCAGGATTAACAGAAAATCAAGACACCCATTAGCCAAGGCCCTGAATATGCAATACCGTGTCTCCAAGTTCCACACTTAAGTCTACAGCTGCTATTCCAGATTCTTCATCAGTTGCATTCAGTTCAAAAGCCTTTTTATAGCAACCACGAGCTCTACTTTTGTCTCCAGCAATGTCTCTGTAGTAGTTACCTAAATAACAAAAGACACTTCCCAAGTAGCTGTCCAATTTTGCAGCCTATAAAGAAATATGAACACAATATAAGAGCAGCTTTTGAAGGAATAACCGATGGGCAGGTCCAGTGATAACTACTTGTACAATCTCTGCTTATCAACTTAGTTAAGCATCTTCTGTGGTACATCTGAGTATTCAAAAGATTACTTGAGCTTTAAATATTTGCAGAATCTGCCACAAACCTTCTGTACAAAATGTTTTGTGCCATGAGTACTAACAAGCGAGATGTGTTGGGAACAAACAATTCCATACTGCATCCCATCATTTTTATATTCCACTCAGTTTCAGTCATTATACTCATAGTCATACTGTATTATATCACAGTTAACTCTAGCATTTTCTAAAGTTTGAGTTCCCTTTTTAAGCACACTTGGCAGATTTGTTTATACTTAAGAAACTACAACCCCCAAGCAGCATAATAACAGCTATGACAATAATAAAAAAGCTCATATAAAATAATTTAGAATTAAGATTACTGTTCACTTCAAATACATTGCCCACTATACTCCGCTGCTAATGAATTGTAAACAATAGACGATGATACGAGTTGCCCATACCTGCTACTAATTTATAGTGACTTTGCAATATCTAGATTCCTATTTTGTAACTTCCAAATTCTCAGTAATGATGTCAGACAATCTTTTGGATTACATTCTATCTATGTGCAGGGAAAAAGCCACAACTAACAAAAACCAAACGATCAGGAAAAGCATATAAACTAGTTGGGCTTTGCAGGCTTACTTCTGTGGATACACACTGAAACTTTAATACCATTCTCTTTCTCCTCTCCTGCCTTTTTTCCCCCCCCCTCTACATTTTCAAACGTTTTGCCTTCTACATTTCAGAAAGTGCTACACTGTTCACCTATAGGCCTCAACTTTACAGCCCTCAAGGAAAGGGGATTGAAAGAACCATTACTACTTTTGGCTACACCGAAGACCTCAAGATTTCAGTGAACAGAAGAAAACAAAAACAGGGAGATTCTAGGTAATTACACAGCTCCCTTTCATGCATTTCTTCACAGCTGAATGTGGTTTACAGGCTCTGTAGGCCTGTAAAGAGTAACAAACAATTCCAGTGTCTAACTCCAGTCACGAATAATTTCTGTATTTCTTTTCCTATGTAGGAAAATGCTAATCTACATGAATTGTTAAAGAAGCTTTTACCTTCAAGAGCTGAGTGAGTGTTTTTCCTTTGTCTTTTTTTGTCTCATCACTCATGAACCAATAGGTGAGCCCCAGGTACTGATGATACTCTGCAGTGTCAGCCCTTCTTTCAATGGCATTTTGAAAACTAAATAAAAGGAACAGATTAGATGAAGCAAACCCTCAAAAGCTGAACATTATATGCTATTTTCCCCCACATTTCCCTGTTAAAAAAAGAAAAAGAGGTTTACCTTCTTTCTGCCTGTTCATACTTCTTTTGAGAATAATGGATGAAACCCTCAAGAGCATGGGCCTCAGCCAGATCAGGGTGTGACAACAGAAGTTCTTGAGAAATCTGCAAAAATATGTCATCCTTCTCTAGTTATTTCTATATGAAAATAAGAGTTCTACATAGCTTGCAGGAAGGGCTATAGAGCACTAACCTTTGAAGCTTGATCCACTAAACCTTTGTTTAGATAAGCCCGACCTCTGAAAGCTAAAACCACTGGATCGCTGCTTGCACCTGCAATCTAGAAGATCAGGTAATAGATACAAACAAGTTATTCTTTTCACACACTAAGAAATCAAAGGTGTCAAAAGCAGGTTTTCTACATGAAGACAAGAATGCACTGAGAGAGGAGACCACCCTTGAGGAGCCTTAGATAGAGTTTTGCTGAAGAGGTAGCCGATTGTAAACAGAAAGGACAAATCTACAGAAGTTTGAACAGTAAAAAAGTAGTATACATGAAACTGTGAGGCATAACAGAGGGGAAGCAATTTTCACTTAAAGCTTCACCATTCAATCTTAAAGTAATGTGTTTACATGTAATAACAAGTGAATTGAGGACAGAGGGAGTAGGATTATAACCATAATTCAAATAAAGATGAACAATAGCCCCAGAACTAGCAAGAACCCAGCTTCACTATGCAAGACCAGATAAGGCAAGGAGCAATGGCTTTTTAAATTAGAATTGTGACTTAAAAGAAGTTGTAGCAAAGCCTAAAAGCAAAGGAGCAAGGCATGTTTTAATTACACCATTGTTGGTAGGAGCTGTCTAAACCACACAGAAAACAAAAACGAGCCAAGGGGAAAAATACACAGCTTGAATTTTTAGTGCATAAAGATGAGAGCATTTTTTTTTTCCTTAAACTACATTTTGGTCAATGAAAATACCTGCTCAAGTGCATTAATGGCTTCTTCTGCAGCATTGGCATCGCCTATTTTAATCAAAGCCTCTGCTTTCAACTGAAGAATACGGTCCTTCTTCTGCTGAAGACTAGGACTCTCAGGATTTCCAAGACTCTTGAGAGCTGTTGACAAGACAGAAGTTTAATCAAATGGAAATAAAAAAGGATCTACAGAGAACACCACTTAATAAAGCTAATTATTAGACTGTTCTCTCCTGTGTTGAAGAAACTATTACATAAAATCTCTACTTATGCAAGTTCAAAAGTTTGATCAATTTTAGAAAGGTGATGTCAGACATGTAAGAAACTGTCTCCTAGATGCTAGCCTAATAATTGGAATGCTTGTTTTCCTGATCCATGCTCTGAGAAAACAATGACCCTTCACTAACCAAATTTGTTGTTCTATACTTCAATGTCAGAAGGGGAAAAATATTGCTATTAAATCAAGGATTTAACTCTGTACCTGTGCAAAGCCAGCTCTGTACTATTGTAAGCAGTATTGGTTACTTCTCCAGTAGGCAGTATAATCTCACCTCAGAGAATCTCTGTTGAGTTGCAGTACTCTCCAAAGACAAATACTTTCTCAACTAGTCAGTTAACTCTATTTCCACCCGTGTCAGTCTTCTGTCTGACCTGATAGTCCGTCTGTCCTAGCATCCTGTCTCTAGCTGCAGATATACAGGAACAATGTAAAAACAGGCCAAGCACAGAGCAGTGCTTCCCTAGATTTCTCCCCGAGTTTTGGACTCAAGGCAACTTTCAGTATCCACAGCATCTTTTAGCAAGGCACAATACCTTAACTTACACTTTGTCATAAGAAACAAAGCCTCCTTCGTTTGTTCTGAGCCTGACATCCTTTAGTTTCATTTGTTACTAACTAGATCTTGCATGTGAGAAGAAAGCATATGATCTTTATTTATTTTCCAAGTAATTTGTAACTTCACGGATTTCAAAATCATCTCTTCTTTTAGAGAGTGGGTGGGTACTAAAACTGCACAAAGAATTCACCACGCTGCTCAAGTTCTGCCTTGCAACTGCCTGTTGGTGCTGTTTCAGTAACCATTCCCTTCACTGTAATTCCTGACTTTCAAGTTCTCCTGTAAAGCACAGAAGGGGAAAAGGAGCAGTCCTACTTTCTTCATACAGAATAAATACCTTTCTGTGTTTTACTGCAGTAAGACTAGAGGATAACTTAATGAGAACATTTCTTCTAACAACTGCATGACTTTGCTTTTATGACTATGGAATTTTATTAGTGTATTGGGTTTATGTGGCAATGTTTTGGTAGCAGAGGTGCTGCAGGGGTGGCCTCTGTGAGCAGAGCCCAGCAGCTGCCCCATGGCAGAGAGGAGCCAGCTCCAGCTGCTCCACAAGGGACCTGCTGCTGGCCAGAGCTGGGCTGTGACCGATGCTGGTTGGGCCTCAGAGAGCAGATTGAAGAAAGGGGAAAAAAACTGCTGTGCTACAGCAGCTGGGAGAGAGGGGTGAGAGCCAGCCCTGCAGCCCCCAGGTAGGTGCAGCAGGAGGGCAGGAGGTGCTGCAGGCAGGCAGCAGCAGTTCCCCTGCGGGCTGTGCAGGGAGAGGCCCCTGGTGGAGCAGGCTGTCCCCCTGCAGCCCATGGGTCCCCCATGGAGCAGATCTCCACGCTGCAGCCCCCCCATGGGTGGAGGAGCCCCCGGTGGAGCAGGTGGATGTGGCCTGGAGGAGGCTGCGGCCCATGGAGAGCCCCCGCAGGAGCAGGCCCCGGGCCGCAGCTGCAGCCCGTGGAGAGGAGCCCCCGCAGGAGCAGGGGGTCTTGGGGGGAGCTGCTGCCTAGCCGTGGGGGACCCGTGCTGGAGCAGTTTGCTCCTGGGGGAGGGATGGATGGACCCCATGGGACGGAGCCGTGTGGAAGCAGGTCCTGAAGAGCTGCTGCCTGTGGGCAGCCCATGTGGGATCAGCTGGGGAAGGACGGCATCCCGTGGGAGAGACCCCACAGGGAGCAGGGGCAGAGAGGGACCATGAAGGAGAGGCAGAGACGAAGCAACAGGGACTGACCGCAGCTCTCATTCCCTGTTCCCCTGTGCCTCTTGGGAGGAGGAGGTGGAAGAGGGTGGATGAGGGGAAGGTTGTTTTAGTTTGCTTTTAGTTCTCATTGCTCTAGTCTGTTGGCAATAAATTACTTTAATCTCTCTATGAAGAGCCTGCTTTACCCATGACAGTAACTGGTAAATGATCTCCCTGTCCACATCTCAACCCTTGAGTCCTTTTCATCGTATTTTCTCCCCCTTTCCCTCTGAGGAGGGTGAGTGAGAGAGCAGTTGTGGTGGAGTTCAACTGTCTAGTTGCATAAATCCACTACAATCAGTTATTTTAACAGATAGCAAGAGGCCTGTTCAGGTTCTCACCTAATTACCTTCTCTGATAATTTCTTTTCAGACTTATTCCCCTCTGCCCTGAATAGCAGCAAAATGTATTACTCAAAATTCATAATTGGACTAGTAAAGAAGATAAACAACCAAGGTCCTGGTATTCGAATGCCTCTTTCAAGCATGAAAAATGACCTTTATTACTACATCGTGCTCTTTTAATCTATTAAAAAAAAAAAAAAAACCACAAACAGAAAAAAAAGAAGAAAAAAACTCCTACTCAGTGCTATAACACTGCTTCTTAATCCGAACTGCTCAGTTTCCTTAAAAGTCTTGTAATATGATCTCTTGATTTTATCAATTACCACTTGGATGTCAGACTGAATTGTACTACAACTTCATTCCCCGTGTGCTGGTAGCTTCTTCAAAGATTACTAAAAAACAATTTCACTTTATTGAAGCCATGCTGTCTATTCCCACAGAATTCATCTTTCTACATTAATTACTTAAAAACTGAAAGAAGAGAGTAATGCAGTTTCACCATTAAACATTATACTTGTCTGTGGTTTTTCTGATCTTTCCTACAATCCTTCCTGTAATTGGAGTCACACTAACTATGTCTAAGTATCTGGGTACGAAGACAGTTTAAGCAAGTGATTACATACCACTAGAAAGAGAATATTTATCAGGGAGCGTAGTAGTAGGAAAAGGGGTTAGGGCTTGCAAATTGAAGAGGGCAGATTTAGATTAGAGGCACCGGCACAGGTTGCCCAGGTTGCTGAGGATGCCCCATCCCTGGAAGTGCCCAAGGCCAGGCTGGATGGGGCTTTGGGCAGCCTGACCTAGGGGGAGGTGTCCCTGCCCATAGCAGGGAGGATGGAGTTGTGTGCTCTTTAAGGGCCCCTCCAACCCACCCCATGTTGTGATTCTATGATTTAACAGTTAATGCTTCAGCAATTTCATCTTGATGTGCCCTGTTCAATTCCTAGGTCAGTATCTCTTAGTTTCTTAATGCTCATTTTTCCTGTTTTGGTTTATAGTAACTTCTATCAAGGCTATAATGACAGGTAAATTCTTTGATAAGACCCCTGAAAAAAAAGGTCGTGGTGTAGAAGTCTCCCTGAACTCTTACACAGTGAAAACAGATGGGAAAATAATTGCCTCATTTTCATTCCTTCTGCAATATGTTTCCTGAACTCTTTTGACCTACTTCGTTCTGTTCTCACATTTCCTCTACCCAGCTTTATAGCCCTTCTGCATCTTCCTCAATGGCAAGTACTTCACCATTTGAAGTATTCCCCTTGCTTTTAATGTATTTTCTATGACTGTTTAGCCAAGTCTGATTACTGTTACCTCTCTGAGTCTTTCCTGAGGAGTTTTTTGTTACATTAGTCTCTGTCAGAAGAAGCCTGCTTTGGATGAGCCTTCATTTATAACCATCAAATAATGATTCTGTTCAGATTAGATATGTATCACTAGATCATAACAACCGCCCTCACTCCCAGCTAGCACAGATGAAGAGTTGCACTCAAAGTAAGCTTTCTTGAGATGCAGCTGTACTATCCAACATTCTTCTGCACTTTAACTTTTTACTCTTAACTTTATATAAAGACTGAAAAGGTGAGATTCTGATAAAGTCCACTGTGTTTCACTCACCTCTGTAGTTCCTGGCAGTTAACTGCTGTTTGGCTGACTTGGTCAATGACCAGCTGAAGAAGCATATGAAAATGTGCAAAACATCTAAATATTAATCCTGAGACAGCTTTCTGATTCTGATTAACCAAATATTTCCTCTCTTCCTGAGACTAAGCAACACAAGGTGATTTTCACCTGTCATAAACCAAAAGCAGCAAGAGAGCCCACCACAACCAGTGATGTTGCAAAGTGCAAAGGAGTAGGGCTGCTGCTAACACACACCTACTGTGCACAGGCCACACTGACTAGACTGCATAAAGACGGTTAACACTGCAGATGCCCTTTCAATTAGCAGGCAGTTACCTTGATTACAGGACAGGACAGCATTCTTGTGCTTGTGAATTTTCATCTGTGCCTCTGCCAAACAATGCCATGCTCCCAGACACTGGCTAGCATTCTTCAAACCTAGTAAAAGAAAGTTCAAGAAAAAAAATGTTGCTTAGGGCTGCAAAAATGCTGTGGCTGACAGATGCTGTATTGCCGTGCAACACCATCAAAACACTGACATCAAATAATCAGCAAAAAAAATGCAGTTAGTTTAAACTAAGACTCAAAGAAAAAATATCTTAGATACACCTAAATGTAAGGGAAAGACTATGGCAGTTGTAAACCTCTCTTAGGCTTAATTTTGCGTATAATGTTATATATAAATAAAGAGAAAAGGGGAAAATGTGAGGAAATACACAACATTGGCTTAAGGTGCACTTTTGTTTCAGAACGCAAAAAGTTCTTCTGTTTGATCACAAATTATCACCAACAGCCTGTAGACTGCTTTATAAAATTTCTCTTAGAGACGAGAAAAGGCTGGCTCTATAGAACAGCTATGGAACTTCAAAACAGCAAAAAAAAAACCAAACCAGACTGCAAAAGCATTTAACTAGAATTTCCTGAGAAATGCCTTAATTAGAGATTCAGTCATAAAACAGAATTTGATTCTTCTGAGAAATATATTACTATCAAATAATTCCTTGAAGTTTCAGAGCCTAAAATATGAACACTTTGCTTACTAGGAAAGGCATTACTTCCAACTCGAAACATTTCTGCTGATGCAAAGTGCAAGGCTCTTTGTGTTCTCCCCTTTATGAGTACTATATCTAGAAGTAAAAAACTGGTAATATGTTTTGGGAGAGAGCAGTTCAGAAATATAAGCAAATTTCAATTGCATTTCTAAATCACATATATGTTTCATCAAAATGTCCAACTGCCATTTAAGAGAGAAATTTGCTACATGGAAGACTTTCCTCTTAAGCATCTGAAATTTGATTCATTATTTAGGCAAGTCACCTTATTTCAGTGTGGGTATGCTGCTGTGACATAGCATATTCCAAGATTCAAATTAAAGGAATACAGGGTATCACAGCATATCCTGATTGCTTAGACTTTCAGACATGTTACTTCAAGAGATACTTAAAAAAATATACTTCAGTCAGACAAAGCATTGAGTATTATTTTAAAAGCCAGCTGGTCTTTCTACTACTTGCAATAGAACTGGCAAAGTAATATGAAACTCTAAGCTTCCCAAAACATTAATTGTAGCTGCTGTCAAGACAGAGTACCTATACCTCACATTATACATTTACCTTCAGTAAGACTTTTAACAGCCTCCTCATATTTCTTTTCATGAAGACATTTTATACCAAAACCAATGTTGCCTGGACCACTACTTGAGTCCATCTCCGAAAGCTTAGAAAAACACTGAAAGGCCTTTTCTGACATGGCACCTAGTTGCAGAAAAAAAAAAAAAAAAGAAACACTTTCTTGAGCTGTAGATTTAAAAATGTAACAAGAAAACTGAAATTATTTACAGAAACATATATACTTATATGACACTTATCCTTTAAGCTCAAGGTAATGAGTTTATTCATTAAACATTTTTTTCCAATTATACTATATGCTTGTACCCCCTACACATAAACAAGTAAAAATCAAGTAGTCATCAATATACTCAATATCACCAAACAAAATAAGCTGCCAATCTGAATTCTTTAACACCTCATAGTAAACTAATACAGGTATGCTTCCTTTATTAGTAGAAACTAATTTGTTCATATGCCCTTCACCCAAGCTTAGGTGAAAGCGCACATCTCAAAATCTACCACAAATAAATCAAAATAATTTCCTTCCAGAGTAGGCCTGTGTAACTACACATTTGCTGTCATGGACTTGCTGAAACAGTCTTGCTGTGAAAGCACATGACTTAATGTGTCAGCATTACATTTTATTGACAGTTAACTTGTAAACTTAGCAACTTCAGCAACAGTCTTTGATCTGTTTTTCTGTTTTGTTTTGCTTTAAATTATGGACTCATTAAAATACAGGACGCCTTTGATTCAAATTTGGTAAAATTGACTAATATTGCAACTAAGTTACAAGCCCACAAATTTGGGACATCAAGCAATTTCACAAATCTTTCTTCTTAGGCAGGAAGGATTTTATTGGCAAAGAGTAACCTACACATAGCCCTTCCTCAACCTTAGAGCTATGTGTTAACTTCTCCATTCATTATTCTAGGCTTAGTGCCTATGAATCAGGCTTCATACTGAATGCAGAGCATAGATTCATTTATCTGGAAAGGCTGTTTTTCAGTTTTGTAAGGCAAATACATTGCAAGAGTTGGACTTTTTTTTTTTTTTTTCCCCATTTACAGTCATCATTCTGTTACAAAACCACGTAATTATAAAGCATATGTCTTAGTTTCAGCTGGATGGAGTTAATTTCCTTCATAGTTGTTGGTACAGTGCTGTGTTTTGGACTTCGGATGAGAATAATCATGATAACACACCAATGTTTTGGTTGCTGCTGAGCAGTGCTTACACCAAGCCAAGGACTTCTCAGCTTCTCACACTGCCAGGCCAGTGAGGGGCTGGGGGTACACAGGGAGCTAGGCTGGGACATAGCCAGGACAGCTGGCCTGAACTTGCTGAATGAATATCCCAAACCGAGTAAGGCTGAAGAGTAAAACTGGGTTAAACCAGCCAGGGGAGCTGCTTTGTTTCAGCGACTGGTTGAGCATCAGTTGGCTACTGGTGAGCGCTGTGTATCACTTTGTGTGTTCTTTTATTTATTAATTTCCTTCCTTTTCTTATTAAACTGTTTTTATCTCATCCAAAGAGTTTTAACCATTTCTCACCCCCATCCCACTGGTGGGAAGTGAGGTAGTGAATGCATGGTGCTTCACTGCCTGCCAGGTTAAACCATAGCAGCATGAGTGAACACTTTCCACTTCCAGAGTGGTAAAACATGACGAAGTAAACAGCGTGCTTGTATTTAGGTGTGAAGGGTAAAAACTTGTCAAAAAGACTATCATAACATCAATTATAAAAAGAATTATTTTAAGCCCCCAGAGTGTGTAAACCCATCCTACTCACCTGACTCAATGTAGTGCAAGCAAAGTACTTCCAAAGGATAGCTTGCAGTAGGATATAAAGCCATCATGTCATCACAGGCCTTTTCCAACTTAGCTGTTTCATGAGGAAGCTTGTAAGGAAAAGAAAACAAGGAGCGATTTGTGTGAATTATCATACAGGATTGTTCCATGTAGACAGTGTGATCAAGTGCACCTTCAGCAAGTTTGCAGCTGACACCAAGCTGAACAGTGCAGTTGATAGCAAAGATGGAAGAGGAGATGCCTTCTAAAGGGACCTCGATGGACTAGAGAGGTGGGCCCATATGAACTCAATGAGGTTCAACAAGTCCAAGTGCAGGGTACTGCACCTGGGTAAGGGTCATCCCAGACATGAGTACAGAGTGGGAGAAGAAGTCATAGAGAGCAGCCCTGCAGAGAAGGACTTAGGGGTTCTGGTGGACAAAAAGCTCAGCGTGAGCCAGCAGGACGTGCTTGCAGCCCAGAAGGTCAACTGTGTCCTGGGCTGCACCACAAGAAGCATGACCAGCAGGGGAGGGAGGTGATTGTCGCTTTCTTTTCTGCTCTTGTGAGACTCCACTTGGAGTACTGAATCCAGGTTTGGGGCCCCCAGACCAGGAAGGATGTGGAGCTGTTAAGAGCAGGTCCAGAGGACAGCCATGAAGTTGATCAATGGGCTGGAGCACCTCTCCTATGAAGAAAGGCTGAGAGAGCTGGGGATGTTCAGCATGGAGAAGAGAAGGCTCTGGGGAGACCTTATTGCAACCTTTCTCTGCTTAAAGGGGCCTTATAAAAAAGATAGAGAAGGACTCTTTACTTGGGTAGATAATGATAGGACAAGGGGGAATGGTCTTAAACTAAGAGGAGAGATTCAGACTAGACATAAAGAGAAAATTCTTCACTGTAAGGGTAGTGAGGCAACCAGCACAGGCTGCCCAGAGAAATTGTGGATGCCCTATCCCTGGCAGTGCCCAATGCTGGGCTGAATGGGGCTTTGGGCAACCTGATCTAGTGGGTGGCATCCCTGCCTCTGGCAGGGGGTTGGAGTTACATCATCTTTAAAGTCTCTTCCACTCCAAGCCACTCTACAATTCTGTGACTGATTCTACGACTCACTGACAAAGACTGACTAATAAAACCTTACCTTTGACAGGCACTGAATAAAGTCTTTGTAAAGATTTTGGTGGTCTTCACTGGGAACAGGGTCGGCAGAGTTCACTGCCTCCTCAAATGCATTCAAAAGCTGAAATAAGAAATAATTAGGAGTATAGCAAACAATGACTCTAAGAAAACGTTACCATCACAGTTAAGTGCGTACTCAAACCTGGACCCTACTCCTTAAATTTATCCTCATACCAAAAGCAGAGGAAAATGACAAAAAAAATCCTTATCTTGGTGTCTTTGATATTCCTTGGGTCCTTTATCATCTCATAAACACAAAACACATTAGTTTTCCAAAACAAGATAAAGCAGTAATAAGTTTTATAAAATAAGTACAAGGAATGCAAAATTTGTGGGAGTACAGATGCTTCTTTGTACCCAATTCCAGTTTGAAGGACTTGGTTCCACAAAACCAAAGTTACTATTTGTCAGCCTTCCCCCTGAACTCTCAAGAAACCTGAAGTCCTTAATTCCTTGACACTCTCCCCCTCTCCCACTATTAAATTTTATATAATGTTTCCCACAACCGAAATGATGAATAGTAAGCTGCCTTCAATACCACAACCTTACAGGTTCAGAACTGCAGGAAATTGTAGATTTGCAGGTGAAATCCGTTCCTAATCTTTTTGTACCAGTCCCCTGCTCACCTCCTACTCCACCTCCCTCACAAAACAAAAAAAAACAGACAGCAAGTACTGACTTCAGCACCTCTTTTTTAGAATAGCCCTTAAGGCAGAGCATTTGCCTTCTCAGAACTTACGGATCTACGTTCAGTTTCCCTCTGTCAAAGTACTTGAACAAGTATTTGCTACCTTTCTGAACCATTACTATCAACCAGAGAAATTTCCACCCTTCCTTGTGAAGGAGGTTCATCTTGCAAGAACGAATAAAACAGATAAAATAAAATTAACTTTGGCCACAGAGGGCACAGAATCAGTACAACTCATGATCTTTCTGTAATGCTCCAAAGAACTTTAACATTCTCCTAAAACATAAAAGCTTACAATTTGTAGGAGGAAGGAAATTTTGAACTCAAACATTGATACCTAAGATGAGCACTAGGTACAAAGAAATGGGAAAACAGCACAAAACTACCTCTTCCAGTTTGCAGGAGAGGAAGAGAAGGAGTCACTTGTTTTGGAGAATGCCTATATTCTAGACTCTATCAGAACTTTCAAATATGCTAGAAGCTATTCTGTCCTGCTGTGTGAATACACTGATGCTTCTTGTACCATGCAGGGGCAGAACAATACATCACCAGGGTACAGGGCAAACCTGGGCTCCCACAGAACTTCAGAGGCAGTTAAGGACAAAGCTCCAGGACAACTGTTTGTGTTCAGATGCCCGATTCCACTGAAGTTTCACTTCAGACAGCAACACCTTCACTGTTTCTGTCAGATGCTACATCACCTACCTTTTTCCTGAGAAGCTGGGTACCACTGAACGCTAATGAGAGAGTCACATGATGGGTACTTTTTTAAGGCTTAATTTGAATCTAGCTGCTCTGTGTATATATATGCATCTGATGATGAATAGGAATGGAAAAACATTACCATTTGCACAGTCTGATTGTCCTGGCTCTGTTCACTGTCTGCCAGTAACTGGATCATCCTTTTCCAAAGCTGATGAAGCTCTGCTTTTTCTGCACCTTCCTCCTGTTTTATCCTTATTAGTTTCTGCCATGTTTCAGCAACCTGTCAATAGGAGACAAACAAACTATGTTGTAACTCTTTAAATTCAACAAAATTTCCAAGTACTGTCAACTCCAAGAAACACACATTTCACTTTCCTCTCTTAAAATGGCACACTGCTGTCTGTACAAGACAGTGACGTTCTTTCAAACAGTCAAAAGATATCCTAATTTAAATTAAACCGCTATACTACTAGAGTACTTCCACTTCTACACTTACTTACATTTGCATAACACACTATTGCAAATAAATGCTTGCATCATTTATTGAAAATTTGAAAAGGAAGATTTAAAGCTATCCTCACCTGCCTTGTTATTGGACAGAAAACCCAGTGCCAGCCAGACTGAGTAATTAAGGATCACATGGAGAAAAATGAATGCTTTCAATATAGAGAGAGAGACATTGAAGGAGGGGAAGTGAACACTATAACACAAAATGAAAGCAGTATATACTGTTTAATAATAACATTGCGTGGGGACTTGTCTACCTTCCAAGGTACGTAAAGGTGGTACCAACAGCATGAATTCTGACTCTGGTTCCTTGAGAAAACAACAGAAAAAACAGACAAACAGTCCTCCTGCAAACAGAGTATCTGTCAGATCTACACTACTACAAACAGAAATACAAGAACAGCAGCAATATGTGCTGAAATTACAGCGTGGAAAACTCAGCAAGACTAAGAAAGAATAAAAAGGATGCTCAGGCCTAACATAGGAAGGAAACCACAAACTAAGCTTATCACTACATTTAGTTTCAGAAACTGCTATGCTAAGAATCTTTGAGGCTAACAGTCTTCAGCCTGATGCTTAAAGAGAAGGAAAATCTCCCATTTCCCATTGTCAGAGGGAAAGGAGGAAGATGGTGTTGTGTGTAAGCACACACCACAAAAGTGAACAGAGTAGCAGCAAAACTAAGTATTCTGTAATAACACTAGACTGCAGATAACACTACTGTTGAACTGTACAGGTGTTTAACAGCTCCACCTCATGGTAACCTGTCAAGAGCCATCCCTGCAGTGCTCACGCTGACAAGGTCTTTAGGAGTGCAAGGAGGGCTGAAGCTTGTGGTGCACCAGAGCAGATTTTCATGTCCTTATCGTGCTCACAGAATCTGGTACCTAATCCATATGCTTTGGTTTTTATGTAAATTCCACCTCACCCTCTGGCATGAAAGAACCTAGGAAAAGATCATCCCATCAGTGGAGAACTGGCCAAGCTAGGCAAAGGGTAAGTTCCTCTCACATGCTGTGGGTAAATGTGCATTTGGTATCATGCTGGACTTCTGGAAATCAAACAGAAGGATGATATTGCACCCTTCCAGCCTACACACTAACATTTTTGTCAAGTTTTGCCAGTTAAACAGGTGCCATCCAATTCTTTTATGCAGAGGGAGGAAAAAAAAATAATATGGTAAAAGAATATAGTTAAAAATCTGCCTAGTGATCCAAAAGGAGATTCTAAATGATCTGTGGCCCAAAACACCTATGGATTCCTTCATGAAGACTAGCTAGCTCTAGCAAGAAATTTCCTTTAGATCAGAACAGAGAAATGACATTAGTCACTTACCTCTAAATATTTCTTTTCTTGATGATATAGTTCCACAAGCTTGTTACATACATTACACCATTTCTGCTTGTCTCCACTAGAAAGAAGAAAATCAAACAAGCTAAGATTGCCATAAAATAGCAGTACAGTTCAAATTCTGACAAATGAAGTTTTAGTTCAGTTAACAAAAAAATATTTAGAACATTGCAGATTACCTTAAAAATCACTGCTGTAACTGAGTAAACAATTCCTTTAAGGGATTGGGCTTTTCTGTTTGATCTGTTTTCAAATTAAGGAAACAACTGTAACTCTCCAGTCAGCTACACTGACAGCTAAGAGTTACTTTTGTTACTTTTGTTTAGAACTGTATCTGTATGAGCTGGGTGACATCCATTCCCCATAATGGAGGGAAAAGTTAAGGCCCCTTATTAATGCAGGCTTGGTACCCTCACAGCTAAATGCATCAAGGCAGTGAGGTTACACAGATGACAAGTGACAACGTAAGAATCTTCTGCAATGCTAACCTCAACTACAACTATTCCAAAAGTTTTTGCTCTATTAAAAGAGGCAGAAATAACATAGCTTTTCTGTACCTGTATAAGGCTAAGTAACCTGCACTTACCAGTGGCTTAAAAAAGACAACTGGTAATCTATCCTGGCAATCATATCAGCTATGGCGTTCACTGAACTTTTGTGAGCTAAAAACCTTTGACTGAATTATAGTACAATATTCTTTACCTTTCATAGAGTTCCAAGAGCTTTTTATAAACATCTGCTAAGTCTCCTTTGACATCGGTTTGGTTGGATTTCTCATATAAATTTGCTAATCCCTTAAAAAAAATAAGATCAGAAAATAAGTAACATTTGATGTCTGCAGTTATGAATTAAATTTACATTGCAAGTTCCGCCTAAAAAAATATATTGCCTTCACATGTTAATGCAGTAATCTCTGAGCAGAATCTACATTGATATTCCTGTATCTATTTTAAAATAATAGCTTTCCTCGCTTTATTAATTAATACAACTATTTGAAAGTTTTAAATGTTACATAATGTTGTCTGCAAATTAGATTATATACAAATCCAGACTATATACAAATAGCACCTCACAAGATGAAAACTTTATATCTAGGTACCACACCACCTTGTACATGTATAATAACAGAAAGCCAGAATCTGACGGCTGTGGAAATTTCCATACACCCTGAAATGAGGCACTAGTATTTATACTTTAAGAAGCTATTTATATTGAAAACTCAACAAACCTTACTACAATAAAAGTATCAGATTCTGACATCTGCAAGAGACCTATCGTGCAACTTTATGCTTCACGAGTCTCCAAATAACTCAACTGAATGCCACAGCCATATACTGCTAGGATGTCACAACACCAGCAGTACACATTACTTTAAATGTATGTTGTTATTTTTTAAGTAACATCAAAAATTAATAACAATCCATTTCGTGCTGGAAAAATAAGTTTCTAGATAAAACATTTTATTGTATACAAGAGAAGCACTCTCAAATGTTTGCTAAGCTATGAGCATGGCAATTCTAAGCACAGATAAATTTACTGTATGTCCTTCAGTTTACATTCTTCCTAGCACATTTCGCTGCTATCTTGTCTAGAGAAGAAACACACGCTTAAATGCAACGGAGCTAAAATTCATGCTGCTACACACACACAACCACCCATGGCTTTAGTTTGTACACACGTAACATTAAGTTCTGTTACCGAAAAGCTCCGTACAACTTAGTGCCTGAAGAAAACTCAACGTAAATATTAACTCAGCTTTGTTCCCATACTGAACTCCACAGGAATACTTTTCATGGAAAGAAAAAGTGAATCTGGGCACACACTTACCTGCCATGCCAGCAGCTGGTTTGGTTCAATTTCAATAGCCTTCTTATATGCTCCTTTGGCCTGATCAGGCTGTTCTAGCTCAGCAGCTGCCAGGCCAATAAATACCCAGGCATTGTAGTTGTTTTTTTCTTGCTTTAAGACTGCCTAGAAACACGCAATTTTAGGTGAAAAGGATGAACGCAATGCATCTCACAGAGTCATGCACTGAGTTTTCTCATTAAGGTTTGGTGAATTCCTCTTTATGATAATATTAAAAGTTAACTCATTTTTAGGGAAAGGTGAAGGTTAAGGTTAGTAACTTGATATTTTTATGCCACAAAATGTTTCACATTGGAACTGTTTCACTGAGTGGAACAGAAATTAAGCTGTGCAATTAATCTTAACTATTACATTGGTGAGGTACAACACACTCCAGGTAACTACATAGTTCTAAGCGTATGGGAACAGCAAACAAAAAGTACAAAGCACTTTACTTTCCAAGTAAATAATTCTTACCTTGCAATGTTTTAAGGCTTCCTTATATTCTTTATTTCTTATGGCTTCTCTAGCACTCTTTAATGCTGCTTTCACCTCCTTATCTGACATTGTGGCTGCTAAATAAAACCAACACATAATTAGTTAGTACAGAAGAACTGTAAAACCATCTAGATTGGAAAAGATCTTTATGATCATCAAGTCCAGCCATACAAACTGAACTCAGAACATCACTAATGTCCTAATGTAATAGCATAAAGAAAGCAGAAAGCATCCCGAGCACTTTGGTTACTGCAACATGCCTAAACTGCACACTGAATGATAATTCCCTAAAACTTGCTGAAATAAATACTATAGTTAAGATCAATCGGTCACGCTTAGTCTCAACGCAGGATTACTTCTATATTCCAAACAGTTAAGTGATACGCAGCACTTATCCTAAGCTTTGACACGAAGTTCATTTTGGGATAATCCCCAATGGGATGAGAGGTGTTGTATGACAGGTACCATAGTTTAAGTTGTGGAATGTCAGCACATGAAAGACACCATATGTACGTTCTCTTAAGGCAGGAACTGCTACACAGTGAGCACTGGACACGTTCTCAAGGGGCTCCTGAGATCAGAGCATTTAATTTTCGTGTCTGTGTCGGGATGATGGTCAGCATGACGCCAACACTCAGGGGCAGTCTGCCTTCTGTCACTGCAGCCGCACAGAAGCGTTAAAGAACAAGCATAAGAGAGGTTCATGCTTGTAACGTCCGCGATAATCACACCCTGTTTCGCTTCAATCTAAATATTTTGCCTGAAACAAAACTTTAAAACATCACAATGCAAACTTGCAAAGACGGGACGTGGCTAAGGAACAACTCAGAGGGTGCGGGCAAAGAAACGTGCTGGAAAGATGAAAAAGCGGCTTGTAACAGCTGAAGAGCAACAGCTGAAGACGGGAATAAGGGCTTAGGGAGGAATTAATAACGGAAGAGTGAAGGAAGATGGCTGATATCTGAGATTCCCCCAGAATCTCTCTCTCTCTGTGTATACATATATATATAGAGAGAGAGAAAGAGATTATTTTTTAAACTCGCCACACGCACACTTTTTAGCAGCTGCCGACGACAAGCGCTGTGGCTCCCAGCGGGTTCAGGCTCCTCAGGCTCCTCAGACCCAGCGTCCCTCGCACCGCCCGAGCCCGGGCTCCATCTCCACCTGCGGAGAGACGACAAACTCAGCCCGGAGCGCTGCCTGGAGCGCTGCCTCGACCCCGGCCCGGCCCGGCCCGGCCCGGCCCGGCCCTGCCCTGCCCGGCCCTCCCTCAGGCAGCCCGGCCCGCTGCCCGCCTCAGCCCCCCCCGCCGCCATCTTACCTCCCCTCACCCCCTCAGCGCCCCTCCGCGGCCGCCACCGCGCAGGCGCAGTCCTCGCCGTGACGCCGCGGCGGGGACGCGTTCCGCCCGGCCCCATTGCGCCAGTCAGCGGCGGCGGGCCCGGGGCACGCTGGGAGTTGTAGTCCTCCCGGCTGGGCCCCACCGCCCCGTCCCGTCCCGTTCCGCCACCGCCGCCATGGCGGGCGGCGGGGCCGGGGCCGGGGCCGGGGCCGGGGCCGGGGCCGGGGCCGGGGCCGGGGCCGGGGCCGGGGCCGGGGCCGGGGCCGCGCTGCTGCTGCTGCCGCTGCTGGCGGCCGCCCTGCCTGTGGCGGCTGCCAGGCCGCGTCCCGCCGCCCCGGGGCACAGCGTGGTGCTGGTGGCCTGCGACTCGCTGGTGAGTGCATTGTGCATGGCTTTTTTTCTTTTTTTTTGAGTTATCCATTTTATATTGATCTAACAAGAGCTTCTCAATTCCGTATTTTCCATACCTAAGTAGAATCAGCAGTGTTTGACCGGTACAATTTCAGGATCACAAGTTAAGAAGTGTTGCTGACAATAATTCGGGATAACAGTTTTTATGTAATGTTTCTCTCTGCTTGGTTGCAGGATGGACGTTTGACATTTTATCCTGGAAATCAGACTGTGGAATTGCCTTTCATAAACTTCATGAAAAGGCATGGCGCTGTCTTTCTCAATGCTTATACCAATTCTCCAATTTGTTGTCCATCCCGTGCAGGTAAGACCAAGCAAAACGGCAGATAAAAGAAAATGATAAATACTTGCACACATCAATTTAAACATACAGTAATTATTGGAAACTTCAAAGGCTTAAATCTGGGGGCTTTCACTTTTTTTTTTTTTTTTTTTTTTAGTAAAACCAATTTATTTTTGATTTGTGTCTGAAGTTCCTATAGTATTCTGATGTTCCATCCGTTTCTCTTTTTCGTGGCTCACGCTTCTTCCTTCCAGGTTTTTGTTCTCCCTTTTATATTTTTTTAATTTTTTTTTGTGCAATTATATCCAAGTTTCCAGGTCTTTTCCCAAATTTCACTGAGGCATCAGTAACTTTTAAAAATCTTGAGGATTTGTAAAGAAATTGTCAGTTTGTGTGCTGAAGTGTTGAAACTGTATTCCGACCTGCTCTTGTCCCATCCTGTAGAAATGCAATAAATCTCTTTCCTACTTCAGGAAAAAAATATTAAATAAAGCCAATTGAATACATTGGTTGCTGTTAGCCTTGCCTCTAGATTACATTTATTCTAAACACTGTGTTAAATACATAATGCATCCTTCAGTGGCTTTAATTATATACATAAGTATTCATCTTTACTCATGGTAATCAATGTCCCATGTGCATCTTCACATTTGCGGAGTTTAGAACTTGGAAAGTTAGAAGGAAGCTGTATTCTTGAATAAAAGGTTACATCTTAAAGTGTTTCTAGCCTTCTCAGTTGTTGCAAAGATCCTCCAGAGGTGACGTAAATGAACTTTCATCTATAGCTGAAGGTGAGATTCCCCTTTCTGTAATACATGATAGGAGGAAGCAGCCTGTCCTACGTGCAGCAGACAGGGGTAGCTGTGAGCCAGCAAGGCATCTCTTCTTTAACCACTAGCTCGGAAACTTTGAAGGAACTGAGGGTGCATCCATCGTGGAGGAGTCAGAGACAATACTAGAAGGGAAGGGAAGAGCTAGGGGTGATCTGAGGCGTGGCTGTCAGTGGGGAGAGGAGGGGTATCACCATGGTTAGCATTGGCGTTAGCGTTTTCTAGTATTACTGGCTTTTCCACTGCGTACAGAAGAGCTTAGTTTTGCTTTTGGATCCACCTTTGAATTTAAATTACCACTGTGAAGAAGACAGGCTACAAAGAAACAGGGACTGGATAAGAAAAATGTTTATTGTAACTCCTTCTCAACCTTTCCTTGGTTTCGTTTGTTTTTGACCACTTCATTAATAATTTTGCTTTGTTTCTACAGCTGGTAGTGAAGTAGAATATATGGAAAGGATAAAACTTTCCATATAATAAAAATAATAAATATAATAATTACATAAAAATAGTTTTTTAAAAAGTAAAGAACTCAAATTCTCTTCACAAACATACTTTAACACTAAAATCTAATTGAAGTGAGGAGAGATCATGCTTTGGAGCGCCATTCATGTTTCATCAGGATCTGCAATGCTGTGGATTTTTTCCTGATTTACAGAAAAGCCTGATTTAATGACTATAGTGCATGGAAAGGTGGGACCTTTATCTGTGATTCTGGGGATTATTTTAATATTTGCTGCTCATAATGATGAAAAAAATGTGATCCACTTGAGTGGGGAATATAAAATGCCATTTTTCTGATTCTTAATATGAACTTCTTGCATTTAAAATAATGAAAAGATGGATCCATTCTGAAGTATATTCAACTTAGTTTTAGACAGGAAGCACTACTTACTCTTCACAAACCACATCTCATTTGTTTTCCAGCTATGTGGAGCGGTCTTTTCACTCATTTAACAGAGTCTTGGAATAACTTCAAAGGTCTGGATCCAGATTACATAACATGGATGGATCTCATGCAGAAGCATGGCTACCACACACAGAAATACGGGAAATTGGATTATACATCTGGACATCATTCAGTAAGGTAATCAGAGAGATGCTCCCGGTATGACATAGACAGGAATGAACAGCCTGGCAAGTGGTTTCTGTCTCTGACTGAAATGGTAGGAGCTTTTATTTGAAGGAAATTGTGTTAGGAACCTAGTAGAGGTCTGTCCTGTAATTGTATGCAGCCATAAGTGTATCTCATTTTGTCTGTTTCCTTTAGCTAGGAGGTGAATATCAAGATTGTGGCTTTGCTCAGTGTGAATGGTTATTTCACATTTTGGTTATTTAATGGTTATTTCATATTTTATTGCTTTAAGTCTTCTTGTGTTGATTATATATATAGGATCAGTATAGGAAAACCGAAACAGAGAAACATATTTGATAATATTTGAATATTAAATCTACCATCACAATCACTGGCGATGTTTTGTTTTTTTTTCAAGGCTGTGGTGTAAGTTTTTTTTAAATAACGAAATTCCAAGGCCCTGTTTACCAGATAAACAGTTAGATAAATAGATAAATAAATGTGAATATAAGACAGATGGATAAATATGAATGCATGCCAGAATATGGAGCAGGGTCAACAAGGTAGAGATGCTATATCTAAATGTTATTGTGTAGATGTGGGAAGAAGAACCATTCTGACATGAAGTTATAATAAAACAAACAAGTTTCAGAAACAGGAAAGAATGACTAAAGCTATGAGTATAAAATAGATATGAGATAGCTGTAGATTACGTTTATCACAATTCTCCTTTACGTAGAAATTAGATAGATTACAGCTACAAATGTAGGAGAAGTTCATCGGGAGTTCTAAATTCTTTTGACTTGGAAGAAAAATGAAGAAAACAGTTACCACCAAGCATGTGTCTTGTGTATGTATTTTCAGTAACCGTGTGGAAGCCTGGACTAGGGATGTTGACTTCCTGCTCCGGCAAGAAGGGAGACCCATGGTAAATCTTACTGGTGACAGGAGGCACGTGAGAGTGATGGAAGCAGATTGGAAGAATACTGACAAAGCAGTGGCTTGGATACGGGAAGAGGCCATTAACCTTACTCAGCCTTTTGCTCTTTACTTGGGACTAAATTTACCTCATCCCTATCCATCACCTTATGCAGGAGAAAATTTTGGTTCCTCTACATTTTTGACATCTCCCTATTGGCTTGAAAAGGTATGTGAAGATGGAATTTAAGTATAAATCTATTTATAACTTTAAAAGTATTTTATTACTTGTAAGTTTTCAGATCAGACACAGTTTTGATAATTCAGTACACAGTAAGTAGTACTTGGATGGGATGTTGGACTTACGATTTAAGATTAAGCAAATAGAAGCAAAGAATTTTCTTCTGTTGTAGGAAAGGAAAGGTTTGTTTGCAGTTATCACCACTACCTATTTTAAATTGCTAACTGTTATAAACTGCTGACTGTTAGAAATTTGGAGTTCAATGGCAGGCAACGCAGTAAATTGATACAATGAGACCTAAGTTTTAGTGAGAGATTTTCTGAGCAGAAGTCTTTTTTCTCTTAACTGCTTTCTATGCTACTGTAGCATCATTTGTTTTTAGTGTCCCAAAATGTCCTGCTATGTCTATACGTGCAGAGCTAGCAGATAGCACTCCATCATAAAGACAGAGTAAATATTTTTTTCCATCTCATGCAGTCTCCAGGTGCCCTTATCTGTCATAAATCTATAAATGGATTACAACAGCTCCCACTGCATAAAGGCATTAGGAATTTCTTCAGCTGAAGAAGTGAGAGTCACGTTTTAAAGGACTTCATACTTGCTTCAGAAAAAAGCAGATGCAATTCATATAACTGAATTTTGCGTTTTCTACTGGGGAGATGCAAAATTTGTTTAGGTGCAACAAAAATACAGAGACTTAGGAAAAGAAATATACAAATTAAGGTTGAGTGACATTGATAGATACCGGTCTAATATCTGTAATAGATATTCTTTATTAAGAATGCTGAGAAGTTTATAGGGAAAAGAAGAGAGGGGAAGAAAAAAAAAAAAAGAGGCAGAAAAAAAAAACCACCACAATCCTTCCTGTGAAAAAAGCAAGATCTAGTTTAGATATTAAGGAAACTTCCTAGGTGCTGATTGCTACAACAGACATTTCTTGGAAAGTGGTGGTATATACCTTGTATCAAGGTATATGCGTATCAAGTATATGGTATATATCTTCTTTCACGTCACAGCATAACATCTCAAATTTATAACATCTCAAACACATTTTTGCACACTTAATCCAGTTAGACTATTGGAACTCCATAGTTTGTTGAGGTCCTTTCACCCACTGTGTAGTTGAGTTCAATTATGTGAACCACATGCTACCACCTAGTGACCATTTCCTGATTCTTCTGGAATGTATTTGTTTTGGCCATGGAAAAAGCAGACTGTGAAAATGACAAAGATCAATCTCAAGAGGAAATTTGAGTGTATAGATGAAGAATGTGAATTAAATTACATGTTTACTGGGGAGCTAGTACGGAATGGAGTATCAGCGTGGTATGTTT